CGGACCAGCTCCTTGTATACTCAGCCCAACCCGCGATAGCTCTCCTTTATCTGAGGTGATGACATCGAAATAATCGATAGCGGTGTGCTCCATGTACAGCTTAGCTGGTTTAACGTGGTTGTTTATGAATTGCTCTACCGGATTCGGAGGCTCTATCAATGCAATCAGCGTCACGGTCCACAGAATAAAGTTATTCTTGGATATCACCCTCACTTTTCTTGAACAAATATATCACGTAAATAATCACGCCCACGACAGCGAGAACAACTGACAGCGGTCCTGCCAATGTGCCAACATATGACAATATCGGGGTAACCATAGACGGAACTATGCCCGTATAAATTCGTGGTTAGCTGACCATAAGTCAAACGGCGCGGAAAATGGGAAATTTTAATCTCTCTCATGTACGTACGCCAGCTAGCCCCGGCAACCCAGCCAGCAACAATGCCGAGGAGTTGAATTGCTGAAGATAGAATGAGCATCAGATGATATGCAGTTTCAAGCGGCTCTTGTGCTTTAGCCAAATCCATAGAGGCGAAAACAAGCCCAGTTACCGCCAGCACGATGCTATCACGGATATGTCAGCCACACTGCTCCAGATACCTTGATTTCGTCAACTTACCCTGCTACTGATGCAAGAATCTCCGATATATTCCGACCAAATATCTTTGCGATCTGAGAAAATTGCTTCACCGGAATAATCTCTTCTAGCATTTCTATCCCTAAGACCTGTTTCGCTGTTCGGGTGAAATATTTCGCGAAGGAAGCCGATATCTTTAATGCCGATAGTCAGTTGGGAGGGAATGCGTAATATTTGTGTGCACGTAAACCAGCAATAGGTTCGTACCTTATTCGCAGCATCCGGGATTTCACTCATGAACTTATCAAATTTAAAGAAAACTTTCATGACGTCTTTCAGAGTAGATATATGCTCGAAAAGGCCCGCTATTGTAACAATACCCCGTGCGATTCTGAAGCCCAATCCACCAACAAGACCCACAATAGACCTGGAAATTCGATGAATGTCAGGAATACAACGGGTACATAGAGGATATGAGCGTACACTTACATTACCCACGAGGCTCTCTGAGCATCAGACATTTCACTCCACCCTCCGGTGAAGAATGGCATGGCGATCATTGCCGCTGCGGACAAGGTTTGTATAGTCGTAAAGAGTCCTCGTGCACGACTCCCCAATGCTTTGTACCAGCCCGTTTCGGTGACTATATTTTCCCATTTGCCCATAAGAACGCTCCAACTTGCAAACCCTCCTGCGAGAGCCTGGGCAGACCTCAAACTCAACTGGAAGTTTCTCCGCAGCTGGTCGTTCTCGAAAAGCTGCTTGGCTAGCTCAGCCTGCTGGGCTATTTCTGGAGTGCTGCTATTCTTATTCTTCTCCCAGAATTCGTACAGGGCAGCCTTGACGAGGGAGTCGTAGTCACTGCTGTTTCTGTCGAGATCCACCAACTGGGGAATAATACTGGACATTTGGAACAGTCGAACTGCATCATTAAAAGCCTCCATAAACGAGCGGCCGCCCTCCGCTGTGTTGACCTGGTCATTTTCAACGGTGCCGAATATTGAATTAAGCTTTTTGATTTGTCTCCCGACGCTTTCGGACAGTGTGCCGTTGATATATTGTGAATACCACTGAGGAATAGCTGAAAACTCAACCCAATATAGAACCATATAAGCCCAGTATAGCTTCTTCCGCTTTGCCCATGCCGCAAGATTCTCAATATCTGCTTGCGCTTTGGCTAGATCCGCCTCATAGTCAGGATTAGTAGGTTTCAGATCTTCACTTGTTTCAGCCAGCCGATTTTTCAGAACGTTCGCTATGTTATCGATATCACTTGAGTAATTTTTGTTCTGCTGGTCGTCTAGGAAATCGCGAGTGGATGGAAACATTTCCAGATAATGCATTCGATATAGCGCACTGGAATGTCTTTTGTACACTTCATCATCCGTGGGTAGTGAGCCCAGCAATTTTTCCGCTCTCTTTGCATTGCAGACGGCGCCTTCATCCAGTGTACCTAATGTAGGATCAGCTATAAGCTCTCTTAACGTTGGTGGCCTCCTGACAACTTCACTTACTCGTCCCAAGCACTGTGGTCAGGTAAGGTACTTGCAGCTTTTTATAAAATATATAGTTGTCTGGATGATCATCTGCGATTGCTTTTACCTTGTCTGGCAAAATAATGGGTGTGGCACTGATGAACGTTTTCCGAAGATCCTCATCCAGGTAGTACTTGATAATTTCGTAGAAATCCTCCATAGCTCGAGACGCAGCCTCATCGCGGTACTCGCCAATTTCCGGCACCCATTTCATCGGATCGTTGTTGAGGAGAGTCGTAACCTCGAGGGGTGGATCGGCAGTGTTGATACTTTTTTCCCTATTCTCCAAAAAGTCAAACAGACTAGAAGCTTGCTTTTTATTCTTCCCTGAAGCCAGCAACGGCAAGGCTGAAGAGACGGGCAAGTCCACTTTCCCACTAACAGCATAAACATGACTGGTGTCGTTGCCTTGGTCCTTCCACTCGTAGGCTCCGTTAAAAGTGCCCCCGAAATCTTCAAATTTCACGACGAATAAATCTGGAAAAGCCGAACGAACGGGCTGGTTAGCACGTTCACCAGGTGGCGGCGGAACACTTGAAGTAGTAGTTTGCATAATGTCCCCTTGCATGATGCACGAGTATCCAATGCCATTTTTGAGTTCGAGCAAAGTTTCAGGATCCGAAGCTAGTTCGCACATAGTCAGTATTACATGATGTAGTTGCACTTAATAGACGCAAAGTTGACGGCAGCGGTATTAAATATATCCTTACCTTTGTCATGAAAGAAATTCTCGATAAATTTCCGTGGCATGATAGGGTCATCCTGAATTACCACCCGATATCCAAATACCAATGATGATTCCCAGGTGGCATTGGCCCATTCCCCGCTACCAGTATCCCACTTTAATGAATTGTCGGCAGAGCTTCTATATGCCCCAGCGTTGTGTGAAATCTTTACTTGAAAGTAAAGCGGTGATGGAATAAACGTTGCTTTGAAAAGGCGACAGTTGATTTCCAAATGGCCCGCGGGCACTCTGGATTCAAAATTAACATAACCGGCCACCGGCACCTTCTGCCTCTCGCCGTCGACGTCAAGGTCCAAAGTAGTAGAGAAGGTATACGTTTTGGTGCTTGTGGACAGGGTGACATCTTGAGGACCAATGTGGTGGTTCCCTAGCAGTATGCCACCCGCCGCATCACCCAGACGGCCAAACACAATAGTCAAATCGTCCAGAGAGCGATCGTGGGAGGCAGTCGCATCGGTGAATTTGACTTTGTATGCTCGTGGGACCCCATGTGCCCTGGTCCGAGGATCAAATGCATCTGGAAGACATGGTCAGTGTGATGTTCGGATTATCAACGGCAAAGGGGTCCTTACCATCGACTGTACCCTCTCCGAGAAGCGCTGACCTATAGCGCCTGTTCCTTTGCCGCCGATGCAAACGAACTTTGCTCAAACTCGAAACTTGCGATGCGCCGCTTCCCAAAAAGACATTGTTCCAGCTAGTAGAGTGCAATAGAAGATTGTCCATTACTGCTGGCGTAGTAATTTAGAGAAGTTGATCTCAATACCATGAAAGATAAATTAATGCCAGAATCGAGCACAAGTCTTCGTGGGACACCGTGAGACTGAGTTGCTGGGAATCTCGGGGCTTTCTTCCACATATATATCATCTTTGGACAAAGGATGGACACCCTTCCCAGAGTTAGTCCGTCAACTTAAAGCCGAGGGACCAAGTGCTCTTCCATGATATCACAAACCTACCCGGTTTCGGTTGGACCCGCTCTCCTCAAGTCTGAATGAAAATATAGTCCTCACTTCAACGAGACCCGGAGCATCGAAGATCCGGGGCCCGGAACATCCCCGGCTCATGATCGGGCGCCATGTAATCCTATCCCGTTGAGCTAGATCGAGAATAAGAGATTGCTGAGCTCGATTGGAGCGCCGCTTTTGGCATCTCTGCAAAATCCCATGCTTGTCGCATATATCATGCACACCCATGTTTCTGAACAATGACAAATCAATATGCCAGAGGCGGGGCTTTAGGACACCTCTCCGCCAGCCCGCTTGATCAGCGTACAGAGTATCCTCATTTTGATAAGGACAAGCGACGTTGTGACCAAGGAGCGGCTTTCTAGGTCATTCGCTGCAGGCTTCATTCGGTAGCTGCAGGTCAACTGATGCAGCGCAGGCTAACGAGATCAGGCAGCCACCTTGTCTACGGAGTACACAATTCATGGTTGATACGCTCGTCGAGGGCGGACAATTCAATCGCGATTCCGACCAGTCCGTTTCGTTAGCTCCGGTAAATCCCACCACGAAGATCAAGCCATCACCAAACTTCAATGATTCCGAGCCAATCGGGTGTTCAAGTGTTAAACCAAGAGCAGATCGAGTATGTCTCGATGGTGTCGGCAAGAGGCCCCCGGAGGATGGATCCGGGCCGAACACAGTCACATAGCTCCCTGGAGCGAGACGGCATTGGCCGCTCTGCTGTTGGGGAAGCTGTGTGGAAGCTTTGTCTGCACGGCAAGTCTCATTTGCTGAAATTGAAGATCCACGGATGGGTTCGTAGACGAGATGAATCATCATGTACGGAGCAAACCTTTGATTCTCTCTGGCTGGCCATACGACTTCTTGGTTCGGAGGAGATTGCTGTGCTGGCAAGTCATGTCTCAAGGATCGTATTTCGGCTAAACACTGTCATCTGATCAGTACCATCTTCGGGACGGGACTGGACGTCGACTTCAGACCCGAAGGGCCATCTTAGCACCGTTTATGCGTAATGATAACTTTAAATAGATGGGTGGTTCCCGTTGTCCTCCTTGACTTCAACCTCGCAGAAGGGGGAAGATAGATTCGACGGACGCTCTATACTCACAATTTCATTTCCAGACGGGCCTTCTCTTTTATTCATCGTCATTAGTTAGTTCATCCATCTAGCCATGGCGCGACAATGGCCCCCAGATTACATGGACATCTTTCAAGGATTTGAATTGATCAACGGAAACACCTTCGATTCACCATATGGAACCCTTCCTCCGACGGAAGACCCCGTTATCCTCGAGTTGTTCAGTAAAACGCAGGTTGCGCCATCTGGGCCTTTCCACAACCATCCAGCCATCTTGATGACAGTCAACTACCTGCAGAAGCAGCATGACTGGAGCTGGAGAGACAAAGAAGCGTACAAGAAAATATTCCCAGGACTGAACCGAAGCCTTTCGCCGGATAGCATTACCATCGAAAGGCCTGACAATGCCAGGTTGAATACAGGCGCGTATGGCCTGCTGGGGAAGTGCTTTGCCAATTATGGCGGTAAATACTCCGATAACGTCAATACTGGTAAATGCGATTCCGAGATCCGGAGCCTGGATCAATACATACGGCAAAATGGCACGTTTTTATTTGCTGAATACCTGCGCCATTCCCGCGGGATGGCACCGAGCGCGTCGAAAGTCGCGCAATATAAATCTTTACTCCTATCCCATGCATATCGTTATTTGAAAGAGGCACAGTATGTTTCGGGAAGTTGGTCCAACGCGGAACTTGAGATGTACATGCATTTTGTTAAGCTTCTAGCCTGTGGTGCTTCGCAGGCTGAGGTGCGGGATGTTTACCGCGAATTGACAACGGTGGAACCGATACTGAGTCCATCTGCATTTCGCGCAATAACAGACACAAGGTGGACGTCGTACGGGGCGTGGTTGGGCTCCGGTATTCTGGACTGGGGAGATATGAACGCAAAGAACCTTGCGGATTATGTTATGATAGGAGGACGATCGAAACTCGAGCTGGCGTATAAATATCTCCAGAGATTCGACTACTACGCAAGCTCCGGTTCATGTTTTGCCGCAGGAACCCAAGTCGCTTTAGGGAATGGAGCTTCGAAGGCTATCGAGGATATCCAAGAAGGAGACCAAGTCGCTTCAAGCTTGTTCGGAAGTTTCGAAGAAAACGAAGCCAAAGCAACAGTTGCCTTCGTATCTAAGATAAGAAGAAAAGGGAGAACCCTATTTGCTTACCGGTATGCTCCCAGCATCAAATTTAGCGACACACATCCTCTTGTCCCTGAACCCAAGAGCAACGATATTAGGGGGCCGCATCTCCTGTTCGTAGACCCAGAGCGTGCAACAAGTGTCAATCCAACCTGGCAATCCATCCCGACAATCAAGATATCGCCTGACGAGTTGACACCTCATCCGCCTGGTACCATAAACGGGGATGAAGAGTTCCTGTACGATCTTGTGCTGGAGCCTCCAGCGGGGTCAAATGCGGTAGCAAGGACATACACGGTCATCGACCCCAACGGCCAATGTCTCAAAGCCCTGAGTGAGGCTCCGATATTTGAATGGTTCCCGTACGCGACGAAGTTTTTCGAAAGGCTCTTCGCAGTACTTCGACAAGATAAACAAGAGATGTCCTCATTGTTCAGGCTGCTTTGTGATGAGCACATCGATTTTACCGGCATGCTGAACAACGCCATTCGAGAAACTGGCATCCAGATGCAGTCTCGACAGCAATTGACAAACAAGGAATCAGGCTTTGTTGTCGCCTCGAGGTTCTTGACCGCGGATGAAGGCAAAGGATACGCTATGAATCAGAGCATAGCGGATTTTGCTGAAAAACTGATATCATTGTTGGGCCGACAAATAAATAATATGATCTTGACCGGGTGGGCGAACACAGTCGCATCGGAGGAGAACACAAGGGGGCAACCGGCGACCACCGTTCTTCTTCTCCACTCACTTCATATTCTCGACTCCCCTCGCCCAGCTCAGGCAAGAGTTGATAATTTCAAGGGCCTTAAAGTATCTGTCATCCAAGATGGGACGGAGGTAGCATCCGAGGCGATCAATGCAACAGTTCGAGGCTGGCAGACCTTTGAGATCGGCAGGGGGATTGGGATTGGCAATCCTTCCTTTACAAAACACGATGACAGGGAAACCATCAGCGTGAATCTTGAGATCCATGACGTCGGGGCCGGGATCGTATACCATGGCGGCGGACCCGTACACGAGGGTGTAGACACTCGGATAGCCCTTGCGGGTGAATCCGGCGATGAATATGCCGTTTTAGAGGCAAAATTGCAGCGAATGCATCAAGATACACTGGAAAGCCAGTTCTCGTGGGGCGATTCGGAGAGAGCAACCGTTGCAGACGTGCTGGGAGAGTGCTTTGCAGAGAAAATGATTGATGCGCTTAGAAAGTCAAATGAATCGGAGTAAACCCTTAGGGGTCTAGCTATGGCACTAATAACATTGTTTCGGTATCTCTTCACTCACCCCTGAACCGTAGTCCAAAGCGGAAGAGGAAAAACCAGCGGAAGAACCAGCAAATGGCTTAGCACGCCCCGTGCGGGTTTGCCATAAGAAGCGGTTTTGACAGGTTAGCATCGCGGAAGCTTGGATCGGGTATGAGGTTATCACAGGAAACGTATCATTCGAGCGCCCACTTGTGTAGTTAATGTAGCGTGGTTGAAACCAGCTAACGACAAGCATGAGAAGCCAAAGAAAACTAAGGACCTGCCTGGCCCACTGACACGTGACGGAGGGCGTATCCCGTCTGGGAGACAGCGCGAATCTGCGAAGATCCCAGAGTGTTTGCCGTGCATGAGTGGACAGGAAGCTTATTTGCGCTTAATCCGCTGATGGAGCGTGTTGTCCTTGTCTGCGGGTTCTCAGAAAGGGAACCCAGCAGGTGGGACGACGGGAATCTCGTCTGATCCTGGCCGCCAGATGGATCGAAGATATGCAACTTGGCAGCGGAGAACCCCCGTCCGCAAGAAACATCGTCGTCGCTTAACCAGACAGTTTTCGTCGAAAGTGCATATGTAGTCGCTGATAAGCAGAAGCACTACGGAGTAGTCCGTACTGAGTACGGGGAATGAGGTAACCGGCCAAGATGAATGGAGACGGTGCGCGATTCGAATGCACCGATGCTTCACACAACAGCAACCCCTTTGCTCTCCCAGACCATCGCTTGAGGGAGGTGCCACTCCACCCTCGTTAGAACCGTCTCTGCGTCCTCGAGAAGGGAGAATCAGACTGCCCATGACCCAAACGCAAGCTGAGTAGGAGGCATCTCTCCTTGTCAGCACGGCCTCTCTCCTTGTCAGCACGGCCTCTCCGCGGTGGGCTTCTGGAGACGAACTGCGTTGTTTAGGTCGTTTGCCCCCATTGACGCTACCGTCTTGGCGGTATGCTGACTGTGCCTTGCTGCGAAACATTTATTGACCTGTAACTGTGTGTGGAGATGGTGGAAATTGGCCACGCCCACTTAGTTTAGAGTGTGTGTGGGCACTTTGAGAGTTAAACGACGGAGGACTCCGTAGTGACGGAGCATTAGGTCATACCAGCCCGGAGATGCAGCGCAACGGCGACACCGAGGGATGCATGCGTAGTTAGCTAGTTAATAGTCCAAACACACGTACATAATACTCCGTGTACATAACTATTGAGTGGAACGACACACTCTACACAACTCGGCACCACGCAACACGCTAGCCTCTCTCGGTGTACGCGTGCCTTCCATTGGTTGAACTCACGCGCGGAAGAAGGAGGAAGGTCGGTCGTAGCCGCCCAGTCGGTTTTATAACAGTGAGAAGGGCCGTTCCTTCCTGCCCTCAACTTTGGGCTTTTTTTTTTTTTTCGCCAAATTCGTTTTTAACTTCCCTTGTACGGAGTACGGAAGTATCTTTTTTGGAAAGTGCCAAGGGGCCAACCAGGCGAGAGAAAGCACGTGAAAAAGGAAAGAGGTGACGTCATTGTCCCATTTCAATTGTTTAGCGCAAACTTTAGTCAGAACGCCTTTCCTATAATGGATTAGGCCTCGTTGCCACGGCCAATAAGCGCGCACAGCCCCTCCACTCGCTGGCCAATGGAATGGCTGGGATATAGCAGAGCCCGACCGGCTCGAATACTCAGAGCAAACCGCAGCGGAACTCTCGCAGCAAGCGCCGGGCGAAGCACACAGAGCGATTCTTCGGGTCAACCCAGGGCAGCCGCAGAGGCTCCATCCCGACCCTCCCGGCAACGCTCATGCGGGCGTCTTCCTTCGGCCGTCGAACCTCCTCCGCTCCAAAGTGGCTTGCCTTGCACGCTTTTGCCCCTCTGTGGAGTCCAAAAATATTGCTGTTCCCATACTTGTTTCGTTGCTCTCTTCCCCTCGAACTCGTCCCCGTCTCCGATCGATATCCCGGAACTTTTCCTGGAACAGTGCGCCGGGTGGACCTTGAAAGCCAGAAAACTGGGTAAAGCAAAGGATGGAGATGCAGGTGGGGGGCGAAACGGACTCCCAGTGATGAAAGAGCAAAGAAGGACGTAAAAAAAAAAAGAAAAAATCTCCGTTTTAAAAAGAGAGTAGAAATACCTTTCAATTATTTTTCTTTTTCTCCTTTTTTTTTTTTTTTTTTTTTTTTTTCCCTCTTTGATCCCGAATTCTCAAACCCAGGCTGGAAGGGTTTTCCTCTGTTTTCTCTTCTCTGTTTCCTCCTCCCTTTTATCTCGTTGCGTCGCCGTTGTGAAGCCCCATTGACCACCAATCGCGGCGTTGAAACTTCACCCCACCGTGACATCTTAGGAGTCTTATCTATCAATCGACTATCTTGTTTTCCTGTATCCCGTCTTGACCGGTTCCAAGACACCCTGTGGTGCAGCTGCGCAGCCCTATCAATCCGTGGTCCCTACACATATTTTATTCAAAAAAGGTCCTTGCCTCACTGAAGATCCGGGGGTCGTGTGAGACGAGACGCAGGGACTCGATTCCCGTCAGCAGATCCCTACCCTCCAGCTCCGGGTTCAGCGAACTTCGGGCGTGGAAGTTTGCATCGGCAGGTCCTTTCAGAATCTCTCCCACAGCACGAGCGGCAATTCGTCAAAAACCAAAAAAAATAAAAATAAAAATAAAAAATAAAAAAAATAAAAAGAAATAAAATAGCATTGTACTACTATCTCCCAAATGCGACAAGAGCCCCAGCGCGACATAAACTGAAGTGCGTTCTACTGCTCACATCTTGCGGCCAAGTATCCCCTGCCCCAATGCGACAGTCATGTTAATTTGTGATTTCTTTTCTTTTCTTTTGTTTAGGAGATCTAGGTCGAGGGACCAACAATTCAACGAACAGGCAGATATTGCTGAAGCAAGCACAAGATTGATATCGCTCCCATTGACCAGAACAGGATAGACCTGTAGAACGTCGTCGAGTCCTTTTCCGGATCAAAAAGATGGATGCACTGGATAGCGAAAAGCACATCGCGGGCGATCACACCCAAGATGGCTCAAGTTCCCTCGACGAGGACGCCCAGAAGCTTGCGGCCATGGGCTACAGCCAGGACATGAAACGAAAGTTTTCTGTTCTGTCCCTCCTCGCCGTCGGCTTCTCCCTCACCAACTCGTGGTTCGGTATCTCCGCCTCCCTGATCACCGGTATCAACTCCGGTGGCCCCGTCTTGACGGTCTACGGTATTCCTTGGATCGCTTTTATTTCCGCGTGCGTCGGAATCACTCTTTCTGAGCTGGCGAGCGCGCTTCCGAACGCCGGAGGCCAGTACTTCTGGGCAAACGAATTGGCTCCTCGAAACTATGCCAACTTTGCTTCGTACCTGACCGGCTGGTTCGCGTGGACCGGCAGCATCTTCACGTCGGCTAGTGTCGCATTGAGTCTGGGATTGGTTGGTGTAGGCATGTATCAGATGGCCCACCCCGAATTGTATGTTGCCTCCATTTCTCTCTCTCAGTGATCATCAACCGCTGCTGAGTAACGTCGTGTCTTTTTTTTTTTTTTTTTTTCTTTTTCCCCTTCTGGAGATTACCTTACTAATTTCTGGGTTTTACCAAACTGAAGCGTTCCTGAGGCCTGGCACGCTGTCGTTGCATATCAAGTGATTAACACCTTTGCATTCTTGTTCAACTGCGTCGGCAAGCTGCTCCCCAAGGTCGCAACCGTGACCCTGTACACCTCGCTCATCTCCTTCATCACTATTTTGATCACCGTGCCCGCCAGAGCTGAGACGCATCAGAGCGCCAAATTCGTCTTTGCCACTTTCATCAATTCCACTGGGTGGAAATCGAATGGCATCGCCTATCTGGTCGGCTTGATCAACTGCAACTGGGTCTTCGCCTGTCTCGACTCCGCAACCCACTTAGCCGAGGAAGTCTCTAGGCCTGAGAAGGCCATTCCGATCGCCATCATGGGAACCGTCGCGATCGGTTTTACCACCGCCTGGTGCTTCGTCATCTCTATGTTCTTCAGCCTCAGCGACTTCGAAAAGGTAGTTGCCAGCCCAACCGGTGTCCCGATCTTGGAGCTCTTCCACCAGGCTCTGAAGAGCAGAGCGGGCGCCGTCGCCCTGCAGTCCCTCATCCTGGCCACCGGCATGGGATGCCAGATTGCATCGCACACCTGGCAATCTCGACTGTGCTGGTCGTTCGCTCGGGACCGAGGATTGCCATTCCACTCCTGGCTTTCCAAGATTGACCCCAGACTCGACGTCCCCTTCATTGCTCATTCGTTCAGCTGCTTCATCGTCGGTGCGCTCGGGCTTCTCTATCTAGGATCCACGGCCGCGTTCAACAGCATGGTCACCGCCTGCATTGTCCTGCTGTACGTTTCCTACGCTGTGCCCATCATCTGCTTGCTCATCCGCGGCCGCAACAACATCAAGCACGGCCCGTTCTGGCTTGGGAAAATCGGATTGGCCGCAAATATCATCGTCCTCTCCTGGACGCTGTTCACCATCGTTATCTTCTCGTTCCCCTCTGTTTATCCCGTTGAGATTGGCAGTAAGTCATTACCCTAATCCCCATTTAAACCTCCAATATGATTTCCAGCACATGGCGCGGTAGCTAAATCCCTATCTTCCTCGCAGACATGAACTACGTTTCCGTTGTGTATGCTGTGGTGATCATCCTCATTGTCATTGACTGGTTCCTCCGGGGAAAGCGAGAGTTCAGAGGTCAATCCATGCGTCATAATGAGGCTGAGCTGAATGCTTATCGGAGAGAAAGCGTAAAAATAGAGAATTAAACTATCTTGCAGCAAATGTCTCTTTGGACTTTTTTCTTCTGAGCTCTTTTCTTTTTTTTAAGATAGTATCAAAAATGAATTGTGAAATGGAGATGTACATAGCTTTGTTAGGCAGTCTATTTCACAGAATAGGGACTTCACAAGACTTAGAGCAAATGAAGCTTTGAATCTATCCTGGCTGAACCGGCCTACGGTATGATCTAACTAACGGTCTGTGAACGAGCCAGGCGTTGCTGCCAAGGCCTGATGCTGGTCCGTGCATTCTGTTTTGTTTGACCAACACAGATTCTCATCTGTCGCAGGATTCAGAAAAGCAAACAAGAATAATCACAATACTTTTTGTGATTATGTGTCACAAGACCGGAACAGTTGCTGCTGTGGCTACCTCAATGAGATAGTTGAACTACCTCGATGGCAGCCTGCATGAGCACTCTTTCAATTCTTAAATATTCTCATTTGGACAGCGCCCCTGATTTTGTATCTGGCTCTGACCGCAAAGGAAAAAAAAAAAAAGAAAAGCAGCTTATCTATTCCAATTTGTATACCCAAATCAAATAAACCCCAGCTTATGCAGAAAAGTACCCATCCATATCTTTATGGTGTGATTTACCCTGGTCACTATTCCCAATGACTCCCGACCAGCAGCCATCCTCCTCCTCCTCCCACCCCCGGCAGGATGCGGAGGCGGACCGTCCACCGCCACCTATCAAGTTCGACCCAGACACCTTCAAACTACCGGGACCCATGGACTCCACACACGAAGCCATGCGACTCCTGCGGCCCACAGAGGTCGTCGAGAGGAAAGACGCTGACTCCGCGCCGCTCCCGCTGCCGCTGATGTTGCTTCCCCGGTGGCTACGGAAGAAGCGCTATTTCGCGCTGTTGATAGCGACGATTTTAGTGGTTGGTACGCTGCTCGCGGTTCTTGGGGGACTGGGGAGGTTGGGGGATTTAGGAAGAGGTGGGGAGGAAGAGAAGGATGGCTCGAATGCGCCGCAGGATGGGGTGAGCCCCCTTTTTTTTTTTAATCCTCCCTTTTTGCTTTCCCCCAAACATGAGCTATACGTTTCCAGGTATCGTTGGGCTGAATGAGGGTTTACGTAGCTTTCTCCGCCTTGGTATCCGACCCCGAAAGGTGGATCGGTGGCTAGTTGGGCGAAGAGTTATCATAAAGCTCGGAGGATGGTGGAGCGCATGAGTTTACCTGAAAAGGTGAATGTTACTACGGGGGTTGGGTGGCAGATGGGCCTATGTGTTGGAAATACTGGTATGTGAAACTACATTCAAGGCAGTGCAGCACAAAGCTCCTTGGGTCATCTGGGGCGTTGTTCCGCTTAACAAATTTGAATTAGGTCCCGCTACATCTGTAGGTTTTCCATCTTTATGCCTACAAGATGGACCCTTAGGCTTGCGATTCGCGGACAATATTACTGCATTTCCTGCCGGCATAACAATCGGTGCTACCTGGGATCGGAGTCTGATGCGCAAGAGAGGAAAACTCCTTGGGCTTGAAGCACGGCTCAAGGGAGTTAATGTGCTTCTAGGTCCGTCAATGGGACCTTTGGGCACATTGCCGGCTGGAGGCCGAAATTGGGAAGGTTTTGGATCTGACCCGGTTCTTCAAGCCGTCGCTTCAGCAGAGACCATCCGAGGTATCCAGGAAAACGGTGTAATTGCAACTGCGAAACACTACGTTTTGAACGAACAGGAACACTACAGACAGCCTCTTGAATGGGGCATATCGAATGCCATGTCCTCCAATATCGACGACCGAACCTTGCGCGAAGTATACATCTGGCCGTTTGCAGAAAGTGTGAGAGCCGGGGTTGGAAGCGTCATGTGCGCCTACCAGATGGTCAACAACTCGTATTCATGCGGGAATAGCTTGCTTTTGAACGGTATTCTCAAGGATGAGTTAGGATTTCAAGGCTTTGTGCAGTCGGATTGGTGGGCCCAACAGGCCGGCGTGTCGACCGCTCTCGCTGGACTAGACATGACGATGCCCGGCCCTGGTCCGCGGCCTAGCCCGGGGGTCTCTTACTGGGGAAGCAATCTTGCCATAGCTGCGCTGAACACGTCCGTGCCAATGGAGCGGCTGAACGACATGGCGACCAGGATAGTCGCGGCGTGGTATCAGCTAGGACAGGACTCCTGGCCGAAGCCTCCCCCAGACGGTGATGGCGGGCCAAACTTCTCGTCCTGGACAAGAGAAAAGATTGGTCGTCTTCATCACGGAAGTAATGACGACGATGCCACGGGTGTGGTGAACAAATTCATCAATGCTCAAAGCGAAGGAGACGACGCGCATTTGCATGTGGCGCGTCGAATCGCCGCTGAAGGCACTATATTATTGAAAAACGAAGGTGGAATATTACCTCTTTCAAGAAACGGAAGGAGCCGAAACGCCGGTCTATATCGAGTTGGGATATACGGAGAAGATGCCGGCCCGGGAAAAGGCCCCAATTTTTGTCGGGATCGCGCTTGTAACCAGGGGACTCTAGCGTCTGGATGGGGCAGCGGTGCCGTTGAATTTCCATACCTTATACCACCGGGAGAGGCCCTGGATAGAGAGTTCAACAATGACACGGTTGAGCTGTCACTCTATTATAAGAATGAGGTTGCCGACCGCGATCTAAAAGACAAGGATCTCTGTATCGTCTTTGCAAATTCAAATGGCGGAGAGGGTTTTGTGGCCGATGGTGATATACGCGGAGATCGAAATGACCTTTTCCTGCAAAAGGACGGCGATAGATTGGTCGAACATGTGGCAAGCAAATGTGGGGACGGATCTGGCGAAACGATCGTTGTTATTCACGCCGTTGGGCCCGTGATCGTTGAGTCTTGGGTTGATTATCCCGGTATTAAAGCCATTGTGCTTGCCAATCTCCCCGGGCAAGAGAGTGGGAACGCTCTCGCTGACTTTTTGTTCGGCGACGTGGACGCATGTGGTCGGCTTCCTTATACCATGGGTAAAAGTCTCGATGATTATGGACCAGGGGCCAGGGTGCTGTATGAAAGCCAGAGGCCCGTTCCACAGAAGGATTTTTCACACGGCCTTTACACCGATTATCGTTACTTTGACAAGCATAATATAACCCCTCGTTACGAGTTTGGCTATGGCCTTTCATATACAACATTTAGGTTGTCCAACCTCATTGTCAAGCCGTTGCAGGACAGAACTCCGTTACCGGCTCCGCGACCTGAGCCAAGGGTGTCACCACCGTCATACAATGATGAAATCCCGCCGCCCAAAGACGCGCTATTCCCTAAAGGGTTCAGGAGGCTGTCCGACTACATCTATCCTTATATATCCTCAGTGAAGGAGGTGACACAAGGACCATATGAATACCCACAGGGATATAATATAACCCAGGAGCCATCGCAAGCGGGTGGAGGTGAGGGCGGTAACCCGTCTCTGTTCGAACCTTTTGTCAACGTATCCGTGGTGCTGGCCAACACCGGTCCGCGCACTGGGAAGGAAGTCGTCCAGGTATACGTCTCTTTTCCGGAGAACGTAACTGATAGCCAGCCACTAGCCGACGGTGAAAAAAGCAATTCCACAGGAAATCATACGGAACCGTATAATCCCTTGGTCACCATTGAATTTCCTGTTCGAGTGCTTCGAAATTTCGAGAAAGTTGAGTTGGCATCTGGGGAATGGACTACCGTAAACATGTCCCTCACGCGGAAGGATTTGAGTTACTGGAGCACAAGACAGCAAAATTGGGTGATGCCAACGGCGGGAGCTTTCAAGATATGGGTTGGTAGGAGTTCTAGGGATCTTCCGCTTGTTGGCAAGTTTTGAGTTTTGGGAGTGCTAGTGATTTAATACTGGGCAAGGTCAACGTATGGAACGGCGCATTGCAGATTGGATAGATATATACACGCATATATTATAACAATTTTAGATTCAGGCTTGACAATGAATAGAATCCATTGAACAGATCTTTCCGTGATGCAGCTCAGTATGCAGGGGAAATGTGCCAACCGTGTTCCGGCGCTGGCTAAAGCCGTTTCACCTCTCCAACTCCTTTCTCCGCACCCAAACGCACCTTGTGCCTCGGCCAAATCAAAGAAAACCCAACGGATGAGCGGTTGTTCCCTTGGGTGTTCTTGGGCTCACTGCGTTCAGCGGACCGATATTGAGCACCCAGGATCCGCAAACGAAGCGATAGATATGTCGATCTTTCGAGGAAATGTTCCACCAACGCCTCCTGGAAAACCATGTGTGACCATACGGTACCCGAAGAGAGCACCCTGATGATGACCAAGGAAGGACAATTTCTCCATATAGGCCTGGTGAGGAGACGACGCGACGCACCGAGGATGCTGGTGCTCTCCTGGGAGGGGTAACTAAGCGGGTGTGACCAAGGCTGGAAGACGTGAGGGGAACGCTCTTTGGCTCCGGATATTCCTGTGCACACACACAGCCCCCCTTGTTCGGTATGACGCGCCTCGTATGTCCGACGTATGAGCGATGTGCAGCACATACGTTTCTCAAATTGGCGGTTATTGTAATCTTCAGCTTTTCCCTAAGAAGCTGAAGGCTCAGCCATCGGTGCTTCTGACCCCAGCGCCGTTTAAGGAAATATATACCCGAGAAACTCCATATATGTCCCTCACATCTCCTATTCTATCTCCCTCATTCCTTATCCTTCTTGCTTTTGTCAGGCATCTCGAGTTGACACAGGCTTTGCCAGGTCACCGTCACACAAATAACTGTACTACGGAAATATAGTCCACTCTTGTTCCGTTGACCTTCGCCAATATGGCTCCTGATATCGCATCCATCCCCACTGGGGATAATCCAGACATTAATGGCCCTGAAAGTCCGTACCAAATAGATCAAGAGGCCGTGCTCGGCAGCCAGCAGCGGAAAGTCAAAGTTCTCACCATCGGAGCTGGGGCGAGCGGAATCATGATGGCCTATAAGATCCAGAAGGAATGCAAAAATGTAGAGCATGTCATATATGAAAAGAATGAAGATATTGGTGGCACATGGCTGGAAAACCGGTATCCGAACTGTGCTTGTGATATCCCCAGCCATGCTTATATCTACTGCTTTGCACCGAATGTGAGTTCTCTCCCTTGGGTTTTTTTTTTGGGGGGGGGGGGGGGGGGGGGGGGTTGACACCAGAAAGAACACTCTGTTATCCCACGGCTTCCTTTTCGCCGACGGCTTAACTAACTGATGTGGGTAGCCCGAATGGCCGAATTTCTATTCCTACTCTCCAGACATCTGGAATTACCTGGATAGAGTCTGCAACACTTTTGATTTACGGAAGTATATGACTTTCAACACTAAAGTCATCGGTGCTTACTGGGAGGAAGATAAGGGAGAGTGGAGGGTTGCTCTCACGCAAACTATGCCCGATGGCACGCAAAGGGAGTTTGAGGAGAGATGCGATGTTCTTTTGAATGGAACAGGCATACTTAATAATTACAAGTGGCCTGATCTAGAGGGAATGGACAAGTTCAAAGGCAGGGTGAGTTCCAAACCTAGTATCCGTGAGAGGTGTAATGCTGTTTTGCTGACCTTTTGGAATTTATAATGATAGATAATACATACTGCAGTTTGGCCCAAAGACTACCAGGCCGAGCAATGGAAGAACGATAGAGTCGCTGTAATTGGCAGCGGAGCTTCTAGCATTCAGACTGTGCCTGGGATGCAACCGCACGTCAAGCACATGGATGTCTTTGTTAGAACGGTAAGTTAGCCGCAGATTTTATCGTTAACGTTTAGCAACCACTGACTCTAAACAGGGTGTTTGGTTTACAAGTATTGCGGGTAATGAAGGTCTAAACAAGGATTACTCGGAAGAAGAGAAAGCGAAGTTCAGAAATAATACAGAGGAACTTGTCAAGGCATCGAAGTTTATCGAAAACCAAATCAACGGTGACTGGGGAGTGTTTTATAAAGACAGTGAGGCGCAGAAACTCGGTCAAGAGTATCTAAAGCGGCGCATGGGAGAATGGATCAAGGACGAGCGACTTCTAAAAGGTAAGCTCTTGAGCATAATAACTGACAGCATTGAAGTTATCACTCACAAATAATTCCCTAGGGTTCACTCCCACATTCGGTGTTGGCTGCCGACGAGTAACTCCGGGTGACCCTTACATGGTTGCTATCCAAAAACCAAATGTGGATGTTCATTTCACTGCTGTGGCTAGGTTCACCGAAAATGGAGTTATGGGTGAAGACGGCATCGAAAGAGAAGCAGATACAGTTGTCTGTGCAACTGGGTTTGACACATCTTACCGCCCAAGGTTCCCTATTATCGGCGAAGGAGGTCTTGATCTACGCGACAAATGGAAGATCTGCCCAGAATCATATCTTGGATTGGGTGTCCCTGGGTAAGCAAACTTGAACCTTTCAGGCACCAGCCCCATGTTTTGCGGCCTTGACTGACCAGTAGCAGATATCCTAATTACATGGTCTTCGTTGGCCCAACATGGCCAGTGGAAAACGTAAGCCATAGCACTTTATCAGCATATGCATCACTAGCCACCACTAACCCCAAATCCAGGGGTCCGTCATGGGACCACTTGTCGAGGTTGGCAACTACGCCATCAAACTGATCAAAAAGATCCAGAACGAGCATATCCACTCCATCACACCCCGGAAAGATGTAACGGATGCCTTCAATGAGCACGCGCAGGAATGGATCAAGCACACCGTTTGGGTAGACGACTGTCGCAGTTGGTACAAGAACAACGAAACCGGGCGCGTCAATGCGGTGTGGCCAGGTAGTTCACTACATTACATTGAACTGATCAAGGAGCCGCGATTCGAAGACTATTCCATCACATACCAGAATAAGAAGAACATGTGGAGCTTCCTGGGTTTGGGCAAGGTACCAGCGAATGTTATCCCAAACTCTGATCATAGTCCTTATCTATCAGTGGAGGCGATTGACCCGGTATGGTTGGATGAAATCCAGGGGAGAAGGCATGGAGGTAAGCAAATTGAAACCAGAAATTGAGAGAGACCCAGGGGATGCGATATGCGGTCAATATGAGGAGAAGGTCGATAGCTTATCTGCCTGTGTTTGACAAGTTAGTGTAGTTGTACGGAGTACACAGATGCCTTTTCGCAAAGAAGCCCGTTGTCAGCAATTACAGGCCAAGTGGTGAAGAGCTGTCTGCCATATACAGATTACATACCAACCGCAACTGCTCCAATATAGGTTGTGCAATCAACTGTTGAGGGTGGGGGGGGTAAGCCTTGGCTTGACTGTGCACACTGAACTGGTAGTTTCCAGCATCCTTTTCACAGACCCTGTTATTTTGATATTCCTGATTTCTAATGTAGCTAAGACACCAACAGTGTACCATACTATATTCTCCAATTAATTTATTCACCTTCCCTCTCCAGTGGAAAAGAACGCTGTCCGGCCACAAAGTGCTAATTGAAGATACATTCAGCAACAAGCTGTTGAATTGTAAGCGGTCAGGACAACTAAAACTTTGAGCTTCAATATGGATGCTACCATTACTGTTTCCTGTCATTTTTGATGGGTTTTCTCATCTGGGTTGTTTGCAGCGAAACAAGTGGGAGCAGAGGGGTTGTGGGGTTGGTATATGTGGAGTAAAACAAGGGCTTAAACAGTCTAGATGCAGCAAAATGATAACAGCTTAGAAAAGAGTGAATGAGTTGGTAGTGTGTAATGCCCTTGCTGTAGAAGTAAATTAGAATTAATTAAAGGGTAGCGGGATACAAGATGGGGAATGTTATTACAGGAGGGGAGAACGGAGTAATGCAATTATATACGGAGTACATTCAAAGCCAAGGCTTGACTGTGTCCATCACACTGCCAACAGTGATGACTTTTGAACTTCACAAGATGACAGGACGCCCATAGCTCCACAAATGAACCCAAAGGGGCAGAAATAGCTGTTAATTAACACACTAGAAAGATTTCATGATAAAAATCCTCTTCATAAGGGAATGATTTGTTGTCATTCCGAACGAATGTCAGCAAGGGTTCTGCATTTCCTTCGACAGACCACACCCAACGCGATGTAGTCTCCTATTCTTTCTTGTTTTTATTGGGAATTGGGTTACCATCCTCGTCCACAAGTCCCTTTTTGCGCATGACCCGCAGCGCATCATGGAGCGGATCTAGCTCAGGGCGCGGGGCGCGATGCGAGCCGTAGTAGCTGTCGGCCCAGGTGAAGTACTGACCGTAGTTAACGGTGAAGTACATGTGGTGGAGGGTGTGGTGGGCGGGGCTGTTGATGTACTTTTCGAGCCAATGACCCGATATCATGTCGCCGTCGTGAATGAAGATGGTCCAGATCTGCACGAGAACGAACAAGGTCATGTATAGGTACTTTTGCACGGGGAAAAGGAAGACGAAGAGGCTAGAGGAGCTTGTTAGAAATATATCCAAGGTTGGCTGGCTTTGATACTACGGAGGCCTCACTGGTACGGCAAAGATTGGACATATCCATCAAGGGGATGGAAGGCAAGAGCCGCCCATGGAGTTGGTACTAGACATGTAAGTCGATCCATCTTCCTACTTCACGTCATACCAGTGGATCTGGGGTGGGGGGAAGGGGGGAAGAAAACGGCGGTCCATACTAATCCATTTGTGGTGGGGTTTATGAATGTACTTGTAGACACTTGGGTGATGCTCGAGTCGGTGAATCCAGTAGATGAGGAAGTCATTCCAGATCATGAACAACACAGTCGAGATTCCTAGCCACGCACGGCCGTATTCATCTACCCTGGTATATAGGAAGCTCTTGCCACGGACTTCAGCTAGGAAAAATGGGAGGGTGAAGAGATTAATCCATGGGATGGCTTTCATCGAAGATATTATCTCCTTCCGGACTTGGTTCTCGAGGAAGCGCGGGTGGTATTCGAGACGCCGGTCGAAGATGAAGTAGTACGAAAAGGCACTAAAGACCCAGTAGAGTAGCGTAGCGCCAACCTGCGTAACCACCAGGATTGAGACGCATTGTCGCAGGATGTTGTCGCGCGGCCACGCCGAATTGGATGATGCGGATGGCGTCGCGCCCAGACCTGTCTGCGTGGTGGCATTGGAGACCGCCGCAGGGATGAAGTAGGTGTATGCCTTGTCAAATATCAAAGGATCCAGGATCTCGAGAGCAACGTCCATGTTAAACCGGCGCCAGTTGGGTTAGGACATCGACGAAGGATAAGAGTGTTTTTTAAACCTCTCCTGTGTTGAGGCGCACAAAATCCCATTCCTCGATTCGAACCCCTGAAGGGCTCGGAAGTTTCTATGGATCTTGCGTGGAAAAGATCGAACCACAAAGAGAAACAACCTAACTAGATCGGTAACTTAGTCTTTGAGTGACTAAGCAGGGATAAATTCTATTAGGTAATACGGCGAGTTCCACTCACGTGACTAAGGGATGGTTTTGGCTTTTTGAGCTTGCCGAGATCTGACAATCGAGTGAATGGAGCACCCGGACGGATCACCATCGCTTCTCGTGGACGGTTGGAGGGTATGACCTCCCCGGCGATCCCCCAGCGTACCCCAAGGCACCCCTGACGTTGACCAGCTTCGGCCTCGGCTAGCTATGACTGGCTAAAGCTAGTTGACGACATTGTTAATCCGACCCGATGTACCGGAGCAGCGTCTTTCTCGAGCCGACTTCAATCCCAAAGGCCCCTGCAATGCAACGGCGCCCTCAAAATGCATCGCGAGGCCGGCCGATATTATTAATGGCTGGAGTGTTCGGCACATGGACTCGAGGACTGATGCTTCTGGAGCATATGAAAGAGGCCCCCCTGGCCACCATCCGTCATGATTTCTGCTCATTGGCTCTCCGTCTCCGTGTCGGCAACTAAAAGTATCCTGACGAACCCCTTGAAACCAAGGTGGCATTCTCGGCCGGGGTGCATTGCCAATGTTCTTGATTTCCTGTTGCAGATAATGATCTTCTTTTGTTGGAGTTTTTACCAAAGCACTCCGCGGACCGCACCATTGGAAATTAAGACGAGATCCTACTAGCAGTTGATGACGATCTGCCGCTTTCTCAGTTCTTACCCAGCACCTATGTGTGTTGGCTTTTTGCACGTCGTCAGTGAGAACTCCCTCTTTCTTTTTTATTTTTTAATTTTTAATTTTTTTTTTATTTTTTTTTTTCATTTCATATGATATCTATGAACTATTATGGTCATGGGTCTCTACCCCAGGTTTCGTTTCTTGTTACAGCCTTTCGCTCTGCGCCTGTGGAAAACAAGCTGCATGGATCGAAGCCATCATGGATTGAGAGGTATATATATACATTATATATCTAGTCTATACCGCCTTTATACAGGAAGGATAGTAGCGTTTAGCATCTGCTTCCGGCTATCCCGAACCGAACCCCGGCATCATCGACTCGGCGCCAACACGGCTACATGAGGTTCCCTTCTTTTTTGCTTCCCCGAGAAACACATTTTAGTAAAACCTCCTGGGGCGAAGCCAACCCGAACCTTGATACTGGCTTCTGTTTTCGAACCGAGTGCCATCGATTCCCATGCTAATGCCAGGATCCCATGAAACTCATTGACTGAAGGGGTGCTTTCTTTGTCGATCCTCGTCCGTGAGCACGATGGCAAGAAACATATAAATGCCCTGAATTGCCCTTGGAGCCTGCTTCTGTCTCCTTAAGATTGTTGGAGAACGGGAGAGTACCTTTGCCTTGATCATCTTTAACTTGCTAGTCCGGTTGATCTCACGATTTTCGCTGTTCTAAGCCCTAGCTACAATGAAGCTTAGTTCGATCCTCCTAGCCCTGGCCGCCTTAGTGTCGCCCGCCTTTTCGTACGCCATTTCTCACTTGCCTCGTTCGGAGGGAGGTCTTGATATCAAGCTTACTGCTATTGGCAACACCCGCATCAAGGCTATCATCACCAACAAGGCTGATCGCCCGTTGAAGTTGCTCAGATACAACAATTTCTTTGACGATGCCCCAACCCAAAAAGTTGAAATCTTCAAGGATGGTATGGTGTATTTTTTAACAGCCCAGTTCAGAGGTATCGACGAGCCTCACTGACTCTATTGCAAGGCAACGCGGTCCAGTTTGAGGGAATCTATCAACACATCTACATGACCGACCTTCCAGATGAAGATTTCATCTCCCTTACTCCTGGAGAGAGTATCGAGAGAGAAGTCGACATTGCAACCACCGCTGACCTGACTCAGGGTGGCGCCTTCACCATCTCCTCCCAGGGCCTTATTCCCTTCGCGGAAGTGGACAGCAATGAAGTCACTGGTGCTATGGCCTTCCACGCCAACGACCTTGAGATGGATGTTGACGGTGCCGTCGCCGCTACAGTTGAGAAGGCCATCAAGCCAGTTGATAAGCGCAGCAGGTTGACGAACTCCTGCACTGGCCAACGAAGGACCGCAACCGTGAGAGCCATCCAGGCCTCGGCTCAACTCAGCCAGCGATCCGCACAAGTCGCCCAGAACAACGCCCAAAAGCTCCAGGAGTACTTCAAGCAGACTGACCAGAGAACCCGCCAGCTTGTCGTGAACCGCTTCACCGCAGTCGCCCGAGAGTCGACCGTCAACGGCGGCAGAACGACATACGACTGCACCGATCGCATGGGCCACTGCCAACCGAGAACCATCGCGTACACCCTCCCGGCTCAAAACCACATCACCAACTGCCCAATCTTCTACCAGATGCCCCTTCTGACCAACCGATGCCACGGCCAGGACCAGGCCACCACCGTCCTCCATGAGATCACCCACAACCCGGCCATCGTGCAACCCCACTGTGTTGATCACGGCTATGGATACCAGGCCGTTCGACGTCTCAATGCTCAGCAGTCCCTCCAGAATGCTGACACCTACTCTCTCTTTGCTAACGGTAAGATGACATTCAGGTTATTTCTGTATTAAAAAGTCATAGAAGCTAACAATACTCTATTAGCTGTCCATGTTGGCTGTTAGTAACAGCACTAACTGTTCTTTGTACGCTTTGATATGTATTTGTGATTGATCTGTCTTAACGCTTGAAGCCAACAAGCTTGGGATCTCCGCTGGACATAAGAGGACATTTTTTCAAGCTGTACATATTTCCCTTCAATATATATCTATTATAGTAAATCATATCAAGCCCATGAAGCTCATGAACCGCAGAAATGGGTCTGATTCTGAGAATCTACGCAGCAGGAATCTAATGAAGACTACCTACTGAGACCTCAGCGAATGAGCTGCAAGTGATCTGTCAAAGCCTAAAAGCAGAACGATGGCATCATTAGTTTCAGTGAATTGGAATCTAACACAGTGGGCCTGTCGCTGTTAATGACGGGACAAGCAAAAGGGCACAGCAAACATAGCAAACGGGGAAACCAACATGCAAGAGTATGCACGGAAGCTCTTACATCGAAACCAAGAAACTACAACTCCCGAGCTTTGAGCATTGTATTCTGTGGGTTTCAGCCTTCAACAACTCATCATGAGAACTACATAGGATGCGGCGAGAAAATTTTGAATTGGATCAAAGTAGATCCAAGTGAGCAGGTACACAAGTAAGAAGATGCATTAGGTACGGAGCACTCTGTCATTAAGCAGGGATACTTCTAACTACCTGTTACCCCGTAGACTAGTTAGTGTATCATGACTAGTTAACTAACTGTTATCTGAGCCCACAGGATCTCGCATCGGTCTCCATGGCCAGTAAAGATCTGGATGCCATGATGGGTCACATGATCAAGCAGGTACGCAGGCTCCTTTGTTATACCCTGCCTCCTCTTCTATTGAATCAGGCACCTTGGGCGTCCTGCATTTCTAATTGAGATTTTATTTTAGACATTCTTGAAAGGGACAGGCATCAAGGCCAGCAACAGAATGAAGAAGCTTCAATGATTCTGGAGCCTCCCTTGGGCACCGCGCCCAAGGCCACTGGGTCGCCAGAGCTGCTTGTCAGTCATGCCTGGGCTAACTAATCCGACCATACACGGCTGGGTCGGTGTAGACGTAATCAAATCAAAATCAAATCCAACGCATTGACACGGCGCTTGGAGCAGAGATCAAAACAACAATTCAGGCTGCAAGGGATAAAAAACTGAAAGCCTGCTTCTTGCGTTCCTCGTCTGTCTAGCTCTTATTTCCCTCCAGGAAATCTTCAATAAGTTTGCGAAATGCGCCGGCGCAGAGCTGAAGCGCGCCTCTTTCTGATTCAGGAGGGCTTGTCAAAGATATGTCCTACATAGACTGATGTTCTGTTGTTTGCCTTACCCAAACCTCTTCATATCTTCTCAATGGCTTCAAGTTCTTCTCTCGTGAGGCTGGGCCAGTCCATCGCTGGCTCAGCAAGTTCGTCTTCTCCTTTCCTGAAACTGGGCCAGTTTCTCACTGGCGCAGTCAGTACGTATACTGTCACCAAGCAACTCGGCGAATTCATTTGGCTGGGAAGGTGCCTATCAATCACATGCCATCTCCATTCCGTTCCATTTCGCATGGATACCAAATAATCGCAATTTTCGTACTTACATACTTGTTTTGTTAACAGTAACAAAGTTGGGCAGACTGTCGTGATCAAATCCGCGCGCCATTTCCGAATCGCCAACGAGAGGGATGTCCTGAGGAAATTTCAGTCCAGAACTCCGCATCTGCGCCCCTTGATAGATGAGATAGTCGAACCAGCAGACCTACCTGCCATCGTATTGAAACATCTCGAGGATGATCTACTCACCGCTTTAAACGCTAAGCTTAGCAGAAGGGAGATCAAATATGCATCAAAGAGGGTTCTTGAGGCATTGAAAGTACTGCATGAAGATGGTTATGTGCACACAGGTTGGGATTAAGACCTGGATAAGCCTTTGAACGGAGCTAGTTTCTGATGGAAAAGATGCCTGCAGATATCAAAATGGACAATGTCCTGGTGAAGTACGCGCCATCTTCCCAGAATGAAAGTGGACAGCGCTTTACCGACGTCCAACTCGCAGACCTCGAGAGCACAGTCCACATAACCTCCCGCTTTTGCAAGGACCGCGATGAAATTGGTACGCCCATCTGGCGGAGCCCAGAGGCGCAGTTGGGACTGCAATGGGGTCCACCAACTGACATCTGGTCATTTGGGACAATGGTAGTTATTGCATACAACGGCTCATTTCTCCTAACGAATCCTAATGTTGACAACAAAGGAGATATCCATGATCTGGGGTGACAACTTCTTTATCTTCAAGCCCAAATTCCCCCGTGGCCACGACGAATATGAACTGGAGATCCTCGCAAAGTACCACATCTATTTTGGACCATATCCACCATCATATGTCGATCTCGCTGATCAGGAGACCTTGGGAGTACTGTCACTTATCATGAAAGATGTGCCGCCCGAGAAGTTGAGACCTTTCTCACTGGCTAGCCAGCGAGAGATTTCGGAAGACGACAAGGAGTTTGTCTTGAAGATAATGAAACTTGACCCAAGGGACAGGCCGACTGCAAAGGAGCTTCTCGAAGACGAGTGGTTCAATCGAATATGAGCAGATCAGCAATTTGGTCGATCACACACTTCGACGGTACCGGCGGGCAACACCGTTTTCGAATCCTGAATAATCGGGGTGTCTCTCTGCCCAACCGCATCGACGATAGATTCTGGGCGTGCCCAGTGGCTTATCTGGGTAGCTACCGAGAGCACGACTTCTACCCCATTTTTCGTGCACTTGCCGACGGTCTTCCTTTTGATGATCTGGTTGAACGGCATGGTGGTGTTGGTTGCAGAGTCGGAGCTGGTTCAAAAATAGAAGCAAGAACTGATTCAGGGAAGGCAGTGGGTGGTATTAAAGAGTGAGGAAAGATATTTGGAACTGTTCATCAGAAGGAAATGAAAATAAAGTCCTGAGAAGATGCAATTAGAAGAGAGTTTATATACTTTTTTTTGCCAGCATCACTATTCACACTATATAATACCATTCAGTATGTCAATACACTGAACAACTTCTCTGAATAATTACCTACACAACTAAGTGCCTAGCAATTCAGACATGCTTTAATCAGGGGCAATCCCTGCATCTCTTGCCATCATCAGTTTGACTATCAATAAGATTCCCATAGAACACTCCATAAAATTAGATCAGCAAATGGCACAGTCTGGAACTCTTTTCTTGATATCTGATTCAAACAGGTAGTGCTTTACCCAAAAATAAGTCTATTCAGACCAAAGCAGTTGTTGAGAGTGAACAGTAAGAAGACAGCAAAATCCTGTGAACTCTTCAATTTAGTAATGCAATGCGACAGAGAAGAAAAGAAAGAGAAGAAGAGAAGAAGAGAGAGACCTCTCTAGTCACATCTTATCATTGACAGATCAGATGTTCTCATGACACTGACACTTGATTATAGCAGAAATAAGGAGGATTTGTAAACTGTAGATCCACACTAGTCCCAATACATTTATGTTGGAATATACATTTATCTGAATCAACAGTTGTTTGGAGGTCTATGATGGAAGCTAATTTGGAGCACAACTGTAACTTGCGAGTCCAGGTTCTTATCCAATGGCAAAATCAACACTGTGAATGAAATATGTGTGTACACATCTACAGGATACTCCATGTACATACACCTAGATATTGCAAAGTTAGCAATTAAGTTATAACCAAGCTCCTCAATTATTATATAACTAGGGGCCTATCCGCTAGTTAGTTAGTACTGTGTGCATATTAGTTAGCATCCCAAGTTACTCTTGCTTATATGCATTGGTAAATGGAAAGAATTTCTTTGCAATTGTCGTTCACTAACTAGTGGGAATTCGGATATACGAAGACTGGGCCAAAGCTAATTTGAAAAACTGCTGCGTGCTCTCCAACTGTTACTCCAGTCTGTACGGAGTTGGTGGTTTATTTAAAAAAAAGGAAAAAAAAAAAAAAAGAAAGAAAAAGAAAGAAAAAATAAAGCAATCAGCTTGCATTAACTATATACATCATTCTTCCCTTTCTTGTTTAATTGTTTCTCTCAACCCTTGCAACATTACATTGACTTACTATACATGTTCCTCCCACAAAAAAAAGGCTGCTGGCTCATTACACGTACATCTCCGATTTTGTGTTCGACCACACCTCCGGCGTAGGGTGGAAAAGGCGCTTCAGTCCCAACAACGGAGTATTGACGGGGCTGTCACCCTCATACAGGAAGACATCGTACAAAAAGCCGCCGAATACGCAACCTAGGAAAGGCGCAACGATGGGTATCTACACACAAAGGCAATGACGTTAGCCTCCAAATCCCAACATAATGAACAGCTCACAGGGCCGGGAAAGCCAAAAAAAAAAAAAAAAAAGGAAAAAAGAAAAAGAAAAGGGGGAAAAAAAAGGAAAGAATAGAAAATAAAGCGGCGCTCAGTTACTCACCCAGAAGTAGTAGCCTCCAGCAGACCAGACGCCAGGTCCGTATCCTAGGATATACGACAACAGTCGTGGAGCGAAGTCTCGAGCCATGTTGATGGCATACCCAGTTTCCCATCCGAAGCACGCTCCAATGCCGAAGAGGATGAAGAAAACGCCGAGTGGAGTTAGGTTTCCAGCTCCGAGATTCTTGTTGTCAAGGAGAGCATAGAGACAGAACACCAGGATTGTACTGGCGATGAACTCGGAGAAGAATTGACTTGTGCGAGTTACGAAGGGAGCGGGATATGTGGCGAAGATACCGGCGGAGGACGTGGCGAGCCCCACCGTCCTGATCCCGGGACCCCCTTCGAAGAAGTCAATTGCTGTGATGTAGTTGGCATACACGATGGCAGAAGCGATGAACCCGCCTAGGCATTGGGCGAGAACGTAGACGGGGAACTTCCTCCAGGGGAATTTGCGGTATACACACATGGCGAGAGTAACGGCGGGGTTGATGTGGCCACCAGACCGTCCTGCAGCGTACACACCGAGCATGGCACCAATACTACGATAGGGAACGCCTCATGTGAGAACGTATATACTCGAAAGAACGAACAAATCTTGGGATAGGACTTTGGGCTTACCCCCATCCCCAGTTAATGGACTGGAAAGCTCCCTTTTCGCCTTTACTAAGGACAACCTGGGCAATAGATCCATTGCCAAACAGGACTAGGAGAAAGACGCCGCAGAACTCGCCGAATGGCTCTCGGAGATTGCGCCTGATTTTGCTCCATACCAGTTCATCCCTCGTCTCGGGGCCTAAAATCCGCGGAAAGGATCAGTTGCCAAGACAGTGTAAGAGAAGGAAAGGCACTAGACATACCAGCGTCTGCTGATGTTTTTGCTGCAATTTCCTCCACAGTTGGAGCCATTGTGAGTGGTGTTTCGTCCATAGTCATTGCTTGCTTGCTCCTTTAAAGAACTAACTGAGGGGCGATATCAAAACTGATGTCCGAGAATACGATCCCTAAGCGCCGTGAAGCAGATATTTATGTGTCTCTCCAAACGCATATTGAGGTAATTGAACGCCGCCGCAGTGGCACAAAAAAAAACTAAACTCAGTGGTGCCATGCAAGTCACCCATGAACCCAGGACTGATCACTGACACGGTATCCAAATAGTCGCATTTGCCCCTCCCGACTTTCACCGTCATGTGTAAGACTAGGGCATGCAGCGACGATTTGTATGGGATGAATCCTGGCCGCAGCAGTGGAACTTGGTAACCCCAGCATTCCTATTCATCCGGACGGCGGGGAGGGGCAAACGGTAGCAACGACACACTGGCACCAGAGGGAAAGGACCATGGATTAAGGAGAAAGAGGAGGTCGTCGCGGGTCGCAGCAGTCGCAGCAACACGCATGCATCACGCTGTTCTATTTTAATAAGCTGGAAATGGCGAGCACGGAATCCGGGCCCTGATATTGCCTTGGATCACCCCATCGCGGTGTCACAGAAGGCTGAATCCCCCCGTCGCCATTGGGCAATTGCAGGAACTGGTTTGTAGGGCGGATGGGAGGGGACCCTTGAGTATCACCAAAGGGACGTGACTCGATATCTCTTCCTTGGGAACGTGCCCGGAGAGCGACAAGCCAAGAGCCTGTGCAACTCCGAAGGGTCAGGGTATGTGAAGATCACACACCTGTTTCGCGGCCACCTAGACCCCGCCGCCGTACGGCTGTTTCCATTGAGCTAATTATTGTTACACACGCTTTTTCTAATGCGCATTACGAGTGTCATGTGTCCGATGGCAGCTATGCGTAGCTTGGATTTTCTGATGAATTGAATTCGAAGAACATGTCTCCCCCGTTGTTGTTGGCGTACTTCTTCTTTCCATCTGGCTATGGAATGGATGCGGGTACGCACGGAGTCCAAGCGTCATACGTATTTAGATCAGCGGCTACTTAAACCCGAGCGTGGTGTTGTATAGACTATTCTATGCGAATTCTTCTATATTCTGCAGTCCGTACCTGACCAAGGACCGGACAAGTTGCGGTCTCCTTTTCCAAGCTGAATTTTTATGCTTGCGCTGTGCTTGGAACCTGCAGCCAAGAGTTAGTTATGAACTACTAAGCGCTCGGGTGCTCTCCGGAACTTTCGCTGCTATTTTTAAGAATCATGCTGTGAATCACAAATGCTACATCAATCATCACATTAGTATTTGAAATCTCTCTGCAATTTTAAGGATAATAGTATAACTACGGTTTCATTTTTAACAAATGTCAAACGTCCTTGGGTATACTGGATATTAAAAAGGGTGCGTCTAGAACTATACATTGTTTACAAATTGAAATTCTAAGTAAAGAGTAAAGTCTCTTTTCTTTTTCCCCTTTCCAAGGTTCAATATCCCCATACTCTGTAGACGTTCGCCTGAAACTAATGGGAGCCGGACCATTTTGTGCAGAATTCAACAACCTTACAAATAAGACCAGGGATAGATGTTAATGTGCTGCGCTAGGAATGTACTTCTTGTTCAACGTCCAGCATGCTTTTACTACTTCTACACTGTATATGATCCTGAATATTAGTCCCTCTTTTTTTTTTTTCTTTGCAACTTATGTGGTTCAAATTGCTCAATAGGGTGCGAGAAAATACTTTGAAGATTATAATTTGTTTGGATTGCTGGATCAGTATAACAGTGTGTGTCTACTACTGCATCTTAGAAAGATATAAATAAAGGTTGAAATAAGGTAAAAAAAAAAGGTGTAATGTTCTCCAAAGTTCCCGGGGGGGTTTGTTGTATCATGAACTAAAAATTGTAAATCGAGTGCCCCAGTATCCAAATGTATACAACATTGCCACATACCTTACCAAACAACCAGCGAACCAATTTCAGGGTGGCTTCATGGGTCTGCCAATGAGAAAGGGTATCACAGACAGGCTGCTTAGAAATGGATCTCTTGCTATTTGAAAACTTTTAAAACAGTCTTGACTTCGGCACTGGTAACTTTGAACTGTGGCATTGCGTTCATCCGCTGTTTCTACCACGTTTCCAAACTTTTCGAGCAGTACCTATTTGAACTAGGATCTATAGAAGACACAATAATGCTTACGGAGCAGGAAGTTGAAAGCTAAAACAATAAAAGTAGAAAAAGGCGATGAAGATCTAGGGTTCGAAAACCTAGATTTAGGCATTGAGGGTCACTATAATTGACCTGTCCATTAGTTACCCTGTAAGGTGCTAAGCTGTCTGTCAGTGGAAGTCAATATAACTACGGAGTATATGGAAAATAAATGCGATCAAAGGTTTAGTTAATTAGTTAGATTAGCAGAATGCAGATTGTTGATCAATTACTTGCAAATAATCCGTAGCTGGTCAGATAATTCAGTGTGCAAGTACGGAGTACTCCGTATATTTATCGGACTACCTAGGTAGGTTTGATGCCCAATTAACTACTTTTTTGTACCCCTGCATCTCTTGTCATCAAAATGATGTTGCGAAGTTTCGTTGTGGGGACTTGCTCCGGAAAAACAAACAGGGCCGTGCGTATTCTGAAGGAAGCTCAGGGGTTGGGGGTTCGAGCGTTTGCAGGGGTATGCATGCTGCTGATCATAGCGGGGAAACGAAAAAAATGCTGCAAATAGCACCAGCTCGAGATCCGAAAATCGCGAAGGAAAACGCATGTGAAGACGTTGGATTTACAGCCGGTCAGGGGTTGGTGAACCAACCGTTGTCGACTGCATGCTTTGGATTCTGGCTTCTCGCGTACTCTTGGGGCCGATCCCCGTCCTGTCTTCCCATTCGCCTCGCCACGAGGTAACCTAGCCGCCGAGCGTTTTTAGAGCCGGCACCGGGACATTACTGTGATTAAATATGGGCAGATGGCGCCAGCGACCTGCAGGCAGGTAGTCGGTTCACTGATCCTTCTGACGGGGAGACGTCGTCTTGCTTCCGAACCGATTCTATCCCCATTTACCATTAAAACCGAAATGGCGAAAGATATTGAATCATTCATTGGGTCGATCGACCAAGGCACAACAAGCTCCAGGTTTTTGATATTCAACAAGAACGGAGAGGTGGTTGCATCCCATCAGTTGGAGTTTACCCAGATATATCCACAGCCGGGGTAAGTGGGTAACCCCCAAGTTATTTCACATCAGTCGCGATCGAAAGCTAACACCTTGCCTTATCTAGATGGCACGAGCATGATCCGAAGGAGATAGTGACATCTGTAGAGAGGTGTATAGACGGTGCTGTATCCAGCTTTGAACACCAAGGATACAATGTTGAATCTATTAAAGCTGTCGGGATTACAAACCAGAGAGAAACCACAGTCGTGTGGGACAAAGAGACAGGGGAGCCGCTTTACAATGCAATTGTTTGGACGGACACACGTACGCAGTCGTTAATTCGCAGGTTAAAGCGACGGTTAGGCCATGGGGAGGTCCACGAGCACTGTGGGCTGCCTCTCTCGACCTATCCTTCGGTAGGAAAGCTACTTTGGCTTCTGGAAAATGTGCCCAAAGTTAAAGATGCCTATGAAAAAGGCGTTCTTGCTTTTGGAACAATTGATACCTGGTTGGTATATATGCTCAATGGCGGACCGAAAAAGAATGTATTCGTGACCGATCCGTCAAATGCGTCGAGAACGATGTTCATGAACATCAGAACTCGCCAGTACGACGAAACTCTGATCGACTTTTTCCGGTTAGACGAAGGCAAATTACATCTCCCAAAAATAATATCCTCGTCTGATCCAACGGGATATGGGTCGCTGGCATCAACTGTTTTAAAAGGTGTTCCTATTACGGGCTGCCTTGGGGATCAATCTGCAGCCCTTGTAGGCCAGAAAGGCTTTACTCCCGGAAAAGCCAAAAACACGTACGGCACGGGCTGTTTTTTGCTCTATAATGTGGGTGAGAAGCCGGTGATATCTCGTCACGGTCTTCTCACCACAGTCGCATTCGACTTTGGTGGTCAAGCGATGTATGCACTGGAAGGCAGTATTGCCGTGGCTGGCTCGAGCGTTAAATTCCTCAAAGACAATTTCGAATTCATCAGTTCATCTGACGAGGTCAACAAGCTGGCGGAGACGGTGGAAGACAACGGTGGATGCGTCTTTGTTACCGCGTTCAGCGGTCTTTTCGCCCCGTATTGGATGGATGACGCCAGGGGAACGATCTTCGGCATCACCACATATACAAAGCGTGGACATATCGCCCGTGCAACCCTGGAGGCGACATGTTTCCAAACAAAGGCCATTCTCGATGCCATGTCCAAGGACAGTGGCCACGCCCTAACAGAGTTGGCTGTGGATGGTGGGATGTGCAATAGCGACTTGACGATGCAGGTAAGTAAACCAGCTCTTTTGCAAAACGTTGAGATACTGAACCGGTGACACCGGTCTAGACACAGGCAGATCTCATCTCTATCCCAGTTATTCGGCCGGCAATGCGTGAAACCACTGCTTTTGGAGCTGCCATTGCCGCAGGTTTAGCGGTGGGACTCTGGGAAGGCATCGAGGAACTGCAGAATGTAAACACGGATGGGCAAACCGTATTTAGACCAAGCATTCAAAAAGAAGAGGCTGAGGAACGTTTTTTGAGATGGGAGAAGGCCGTCCGAATGTGTCAGGGGTGGTCAGGCTGAGTTTGTACTTGATATTGTTTGGCTCAATAGAAACTTATCTCTAGGTGGCTTCGATGGAAAAGCTACTCCGTAGTGAAACCGAAAGCAAGGCACTAGGCCCAAATTAAGGTCTGCCAGTGGTGGTATTGTTAGATCAATGAGGTCTAAACGGGTAGTGAATACCTGTGTTTTGGGGAGTTAGCCAACTGCCTTATACCCGATTATCAGGAGGTATCTCGTCTATTGCAATTGTCAGGGTTCATAATTCTCTGTTCGAGTTAATTCACTTAAAGCGAGGAACGAGATGTTTTTTATTGGTGCACTCCGTACAGTACCCTGTAAATCACTGGCTTTCCCATTTTGTCTTATTTACTTTACCTCAAAGCAGACTTTTGCACTTTATGAACTTCTGTGGAGATTCCGTGTAGGAATCATGATCTACATAACATGGACTATTTCCCCAACAATAAGGAATTCACAAAAGAGACAACATAAAAGGATCAATGGAACAAAAAGGTAGAATGTAGAAAAAGAATAAAACAAAAAAAATATACATACAACAGCTGGGATTCGCTGGTGGTCACCCACCCAACTACTAGCCGGCCGGCAAGTGGCTTAAGTACGGCTGAGCGGACGGGAAGCCCTGTTTTCCACTTCCTATGGTCGTATGTGCTTGTTTATAGACAGTTACCTTAGTATGGAGTAAAGTCTCCTTCATTTGGCGGAGGAATCTTCAGAAAAGCTATAATTTATATTAACATCTGGCATATGGTCACAGGCCCAGCTTGACTTAGGAGTATGGGGCGTCCTATGCTGTTTGGCTTGGACAATAAAAGGTGAATGATTTGCACATGCTATCATAGCTATTATTGAGGCGGGCTTCAGTTTTACTAACATAGCAGCTGTTTAGACACAGCAAATAAAACTCTGCAAGAGGCAAAAAGAACTTAGCAACTACCTCATAACAATATACAATCACGCCCAAAGGTAAAACATGCTAAATGAAACTTTCCCATTTCCTCACGGGCGTCTTTACAGTTCATCACTGCTCAGGGTAGGTGAGCATGGTATCTCTACTCCTCCTTCGACAGCGAGGGCAAGGACGAGAACTTCATGCCCTGGATGAAATCTCATTGCTCAGCAGCCGTACTGTTTATATGGCTTTTTACATGGGTTTATTTACAGCTTAGCTGCACTTCCAGGAGCAGAGATCTCATTGTACAACAACCTGTGCGAGAAAAGATCGTCAGTCCCTGGTTGCGAACAGAAATACAGTCGTATGGAGGCACTTACGAGGTCAAGAAATCTGCATAATCTTCTCCAGTAACCTGGCTGGCGAAGTAGCGAGCGGCAAGCTGGTATTTGTTGCCCTTGGGACCCTTGGAGGCGAGCTCGTCGGCTTGCTCCTTCAGGAGTTTCAAGTTGTAAGCCTTGTCGACCCTCTTGCCCTCAGCAGTAACAACGTTGTGGCGGGCCCACTGCCAGAGCTGGCTTCGGCTGACTTCAGCGGTGGCGGCATCCTCCTGCACGGTATGTTAGCATCTTATCGAGGCTTGCCCAAACCAAGCGGCAATTGACATACCATCAGACTGTTGATTGGGATACATCCAACACCACGGAGCCATCCCTCCATGTATGAAAGGCCAATGTTGATGTTCTTTCTGATTCCTTCCTCAGTGATGCTACCGGGGACGTTGGTATTTAGGAGATCATTGGCAGTAACATGTACATCCTCCCTTCGGACGAAGAGTTGGTTGGGAGTTGGCATGTACTTGTTGAAGATGTCGGAAGCAATGGATGCAAGGGCTGGGTGAGCAACCCATGTGCCGTCATGACCAGCGCGCACCTCACGGAGCTTGTCGGCGCGAACGCTCTCCATGGCAGCGTCGTTGGCCTTGGGATCATTCTTGATGGGGATTTGAGCAGCCATACCACCCTATATGTTTTGTCAGCTTGAGGCCGTCGAGCCAATGGAGATGTTATTTAGAGGCTTACCATCGCGTGGACACCTCGTCTGTGGCAGGTCTTGATCAAAAGCCTGACATAGGCATCCATGAACGGCACAGTCATGGTAACAGCAGAACGGTCGGGGAGGACAAAGTTGGGATTCTGGCGGAATTTCTTGATGAACGAGAAGATGTAGTCCCATCTTCCGCAGTTCAGACCTGAACTGTGCTCTCGGAGTTCATAGATGATCTTTTGCACCAGGGGTCAGCTACATCGCACCACTTCACAAGTCGTCGAGACATGTACTCACCTCGTCCATCTCGAAGGCAGCAGAGATCGTCTCAATAAGGACAGTTCCACGGATGGTGCCTCTCGGCATGCCAATATAGTCCTGTGCCAAGTTGAAAACATCATTCCATAGGCGGGCTTCCAAGTGGGATTCCATCTTTGGAAGATAGAAGTATGGGCCAGCGCCTCTCTTCACCAACTCGTGGGCATTGTGGAAGAAGTAAAGACCGAAATCGAACAAACCACCGGAGATAGGCTCGCCATCGACGGTGAAATGCTTCTCATCCAAATGCCAACCTCTAGCACGGGCGATAAGTGTGGGCAATTTTCTGTCGGTGCGGAGTTTATATTCCTTTCCTCCCTGGGTGAAGTCGATCTGACGACGGATAGCATCATAAAGGTTAACCTGGCCATTGACCATGTTTTCCCATGTTGGAGCGCTCGAATCTGTGGAGAATCTATCAGAACAGTTCAACGGAACACACCCACTATCCAACTGTCCCCCTTTTATCCCAGTTCCCGGGGATAACGGCGTCGAAAAAGGTGGAATCGTCACCAACCTTCAAAATCAGCCATATACGTCCATACATCCGAATTCAGCGCATTAACCACCATCTTCCGGTCCGTCGGACCCGTAATCTCAACGCGGCGATCGACCAATCCCGGTGCAGGAGGAGCACCTTTCCACGCATCGTTTTCACGGATGTGCTTGGTCTCAGGGAGGAAGTCTAGAAGCTGGCCTCTGTCGAGTTCAGCCTGGCGGGCAATGCGTCGCTGAAGAAGTGCTTTTCTCGTTCCATTGAATGTGCGGTGAAGCAAGGCTAGGAAGGCGCATGCGTCTCTGGTGAGGATCTTACGTGCGGGTTCGCTGATCTGGCCGAGGATGGCGACATCCTTGAGCTGAGCGTCAACGGAAGTCATGGTTGGCGTTGTAACTCGCAATTCTTTCTCGTTCTCTTTTGTTTTAACCCTTCAATGAAATTATAGATATTCTTTTTTTTTTTTTTTTCTAGTAGTTGTATAATTCTCCCTTAACACAGACGTATATATCAACAATGTAAGCCCTTCAAAAAAATGATAAAGAGGAAGCCAAGGGACCAATTGATTCCTTTATGGAGAATTTATAAAATCCTACGGAATAACGTCAGACACTTGTAACCGCGGCACATGTCAATAATTTATTCATTCACTCCAAGCTGGCTTGAGTTTCAAGTTTTACAGTCATCCAGCCCACGGAAGTCTCCCGAGTCCCCTCGATGCACAACAAAACCATGACTGGTCCAGCCAAGGAACGGAGGCGAAAATGTTCTACTACACAAGAATACGCAGAAACGAGAGGACATTGATGCTACTCCAGTCTGTACATTCAATGAGTCGGTGCAACTCGGTCGAGAAAGCAATAGGTATCAAAACTGACGGTTGGCCGAACAGGGAGAGCTTCTGTAATTGTATGGGCGAGCGGAAGTTTCTTTGAGCTTGTGATGACGATGATGACATCCTCCTCACCCTATCAGCAAGCAGCACTGCTAGAGCTTCCTCTCGGCCGACTATACCCGATGTTCGGAGGACAACCATATATGTTCGAGCAGACGCGCTTATTCTCCGTGTTTTCCTCAATTGTGCTGGGGAGGACCTCGCCGGAGCTGCTCCAGCATGAACATCGGCTGGACTCCAGGCTCGCACACCCGCCGATGGGGAAAGTTCTGACTCACCCAAAGAACCACCATTGGAGGTGGTTCTTCGATCACGCCCACCCCGCATTTCCTGACCAAATGCGTCTCATGTCTCGATGAAGTTATCTTTTCCCCCGTGACACCACCCTTCCAAGATGCTAAGGCAAAGACAAATGAGCCCTGTGTATATTAACACCGTCAGCCACCCGCCCCGCCGGCCGGCCAGAACGGACTAGAGGACAGACCAGAGCAGAGCAACACACACACCGGCGAGACTGGCGACTGGCGGCTGGCGAGAGATTTTGCGCTGGCTGTTTCGGCCGCCGAGTGCCGAGGCTCAACGCAGCTGGCGGCGGCTCTCCGAGATCGCCCGACTCGCAGCTTTCCCGACGGGAATGTCACGTGTGAATATTATGTCACATGATCTAGTGCTACGGACGTTTTCCGGGCGCAGGAACGATGCACTTTATTCCCCTTGCATCTGGCATCGTGAGCTCTGGGTTTCTAGATCCAGGAGCTACAAAGGGAAGAGAGCAGGGATGTCGTCTACTTATAACTTATGATTCCGCCAAAGCTCCAGCTGGAGGGTTTGTATTGTCTATTTCAGGAATTTTCTTAGTCGTGGCTTCGAAGTGCGTGTTTCTGAAAATGGGTGACAGGGTTTTGAGAAAGCTAAACCCTGACACAAAAAAGAACTGGAAGAATAGAAAGGGGGCCACAGCTCTTAAACACGTTTCGCCCAGAACCTGCTTCCTAAACAGTTACGCTTGATCATGGAGCTTGACGGGATTCACGAGAGGGATATTGAAGGGCCCCCTTATGGCCCGAAACCTTAAAAAGGGTTGCAAGATTTGGGGAAACCAAAGGTATGCCTACGAAGTACTTCGTACAGGCTATCCGTTTATAGTGTCCAATAAGATAATCATTATCGGGACGTCAGTTCACAAACCAATTCAAGTCAAATGCATGATAATTGCTATATTGGTTACTGGCTTGCTTATCGCGGGAGGCTCTTCTTTTTCTAAGTTTTGATTTCAGCTTCGATTCCATTTTCATATATCCCGGCCAGATATATGTATACACGCAAGGATTGTCTCCGTCAAGGAATGAATTTATAACCGATGCTCATGAAATTCAATAAAAGGCAGCATGAGCCTACTCAGCGAAATACCGCTTCACCCCACTTGCGCATGGCTCCATATAACCTGTGTTGAACTGCCGTTCCGGTGTGATTGAAATGGCAGCATATGATCGACTCCCGGAGCGCTTTCTTCGAAACAGCTGGCTTTTTTACCTCGACCTTAATCGTCTAAACATATTGCCACGCAGCCGGGTTATTGCCGGGATAGGTGATGGCCAGCGCGACAAACGGCAGGCAGTCTTTAATATCCCCTGTTGGGACAGATGCATTTTGAATATTCGCGTAGACTTGATGAAAGCCTACCTCCGGGTCCGGACACCCCATGAAACCATCGGCACCCCACCCGGTGAAAGAATATACACCGTGCTCTCCTCTGGGTTCGTACGTGAACCCGCCGATATAGGAGCCAGGCGGGATATATGTCGAATGTGCTTGCGTGAAACCAACGGCACCGCTTGGCTCAACATACATCTGCTGGCCGCCTGGGACAAGCACATACTACCTCCCAAGAAGAGCACGTGTGCGGTCAGTAGGAAGCCCTTATCATGCGTATATGCTTTCGTCTCTTTCTGCAATTGGCTCTGGGGGTTCATACCATGGAGCTCAAGCCCCCGATCACGGTCTCGTTACCGGGAGGGCAGTTGTCACCGACCTGTATCGGACAGTAGCTTTGGGTAGTGCCTCCTAGCCAGAACGCACGGCCTGCAGCATTCATTGGTAGAGAGTGGATCGGAGAGCCGGAGCGGGAGGCCATCACTTTGATCTTTGGTGGATATGGCGGCTCTGATTGTCGGGCTTCGAGACCTGGCGCTGCTGCGGCCAGAAGAGGAAGGATGACAGCAAGGATTGTGAGTTTCATTTTGACTAACAGGCCTGGAAGGACAAAATCTTGCCGGACTTGGTGCTTTGAGATGGTAAACCTTTCTGAGTCCCCTTTCACGAAATTAGTCGGCAGGTTTGGTTTTCTGTATTAGCTTCGGAGCAAAGAGGGACGAATTGTAATATAAGGCTGATTCCATCTGCTCCTCTCTGTGATTTCTCGTCATGACATCGACAGTCGAATTCTTCACTACGGAGTACCCTATCCGAGCTTTCAAAATCACCAATCGTGGCCACCCCGTACTTTGAGACACGCATGCCGATCACTGTCACCTGTCAGGTGTTTGCAAATAAGCATTGGAAGTTTGTTTCTAAGAATAGCTTACTGCACCGTTAGCTCTTCGATCGCGCCAGTGAAAGCCGATAACAATTTCCATTGACTCCGCGTGGATGTCCATCGTCAGGTTCTTCGCCACGGACATGGGGAAACAATTGACGGATACGGGGTACATGCTGAGGAGCTGCAAAGTCAGCAATACAAATCGGCGCTCCCCAGGGTTCGTTCCATTCGGCATTTGCGACCGCAGAATGACGAAAATTTACACCGCTATTCAAGATTATTCTCGATGCGAAACGTGTCGAAGCCACAGCGGGCAGATTCAGGAACAACATTTCAAGAGTTGTTTGTAGATAGGGTAGCAAGTCCGGGCCGCAAATGCAACCGTCTCATCTCTGTCTCCTAAATCGCTATTCGGGCTGCCTGGCCGATCACCAGCTGAATTGTTTCACAAAGGAGCTCTGAAAATTTTTTTGACACGGCTAAGACGGATGCTACGTTTTATCTTCTAGAGAATGAACAGTGTAAGACTTGACACAGAAACCTGGCTTTGTTTAAAAATGAACCGCCGCTTGTCTGTGTAATTTTCCTGTTGTGGTCAAGGACCTGGCCAGTGAAGGATGAGAGCACTTCCCGAGTGCCGAAAGCTTTTGTTAACGGTCGGTGGAACGAAAAGGTCCCGCATTTCACGCAGTTTGAGAGGACATATTATACTGGCGAATTCGTCTCATAGAGGCCTCTTGTTCCTCTGACAGCGTGGTGCACCCTTCGTTCCCACCTCTTCTACATAGGTTTATCAAGAGAAAAGTGAATTATGGGTAAAGCAGCCGATATAGGATGAAAGAGGAATCCTCCCCGGGATTCCGTGGATTCTGGGAGAATTAGAATCTGACATGGTATCTTGATAGTCTCAAAGGGTTGTTCGGCAGTTGTGGATCGTGAAATTCCTCGATAGCTTATTTGGTTCGCTTGGTCTGCTGCTACCCCCATTAGCTTGATTGTCTGTTTGGAAGTACCCTCCGTGGAGGTAAGTGTCGTTTGTCGCTGGAGCTCGGGATCATGGGATCCTAGCCAAGGTGATCTGTAGCGAAGTGGTTCTTCGTGATAATTCAACGATGGTCCAATTCATAGCAAAAGGATGCTCCGGCGAGTTCAGATCAGAGTGTTGGTTTATCATTGGTCAATATTGCCGTATCATCTGGATCTGGTTCCGCTGTTTAATGGTCGACATGAGCAGTAACGTGGGGAATCATAACCTCCTGTGGAGAGCACTTGAGCGAGAAGAATCGCCGATGGCCCTCTGAAGATTAGGTGGGCCAGTTAACCTGAAGCCGAGCACACCCTGGAAAAGCGTTGAAAAGCTGCAGCCACCAAAGAAAGCTCGATTCCGACAGTTTCATATCTTGTCATGGTCTTTTTTCTTCCTTTCTTTTCTTAAAGCATATTTGTCTTTCGCCCTTTCTGCTGGCTTAATACATCGGGTAGAGGACTTTGCGAATCACGATTTGAGACGAGCTCTGACGGATTATTAGCTAATAGTTATTGAGAAACTTGAAAGGGCAGTCAACTACCTATTTTGCGATTTGCTGAATATCGAGCATCACGCCTGAGTTCCGGGTCGGAAGTGGAGAAAGACGGTAGTATTCATGAAGACATTGTCTCAGCCTTATCCACACTAGTAGCAGTGCAATGCTTTTAATACGGAGTACGGAGTGCATCCCCATGTGATGCGCCAGACCAATCCGCAGTCCGTGCGACTCGGTTTGGGCGGGTGCCAAGCCTCGAAGTTGAGTAGCTGCCGATATCGACGACTGCAACAGCAGGGCAGGTTAAATTGTTCCATTTTTTCTGATGGTTGCCGCATCCTTGCATTTGTTGATGATTGGTGATGGAGCACTAGGTGCGACTACCTAAAGGTACAATTTAATAGTGAAGAGAGTACGCTGAAATCCTATTATAACTAGGTATACGGAGCATTGAATGCCCAGTCCGCATAAGTAACTCCACTTCCATCAAGAGTGTCCCGGATTGTCGCCCGTTTTCTTTAAAATTCCAATGATACCTTCAGTGCTTGGTGCTGAGCAGCCGCCTTGAAAGTGTCATACGCTTTCACGCAGTCTGCAAACTTATAGCCTGAACAGATGGGTTAGAGCTGCTTTCTTGCAATTGCATGGCGGACGGGAGTGCATGACTTACGATGTGTAATGAAGTCGGAGACATTAAGCGTTTTGGCTTCGAATAGAGTCAAAAGCTCTGGAATAGTCGTGGCATCGACTAGCCTTGTCGTTATACCTGTTCACAGCAAGGAACGGCGTTAAAAACTAAGGTTCAAACTACCCACGAGGCGCGACCATCGATATCTGAATGGCACAACTTACTGATATTCTGAGACCAGAGCTTCTCCAAGTGCAGATCAACCTTTGTCCCGTGCACGCCGATGTTGGCGATGACGCCTCCCGGCCCGACAATTTCCTGGCATAGTTGAAACGTCGCTGGAATGCCAACAGCCTCCATAACGGCATCAAAGCCCTGGCCATTCGGTGTTAGATCGAGAAGCCGCTTGATGCCGTCTTGACCCTTTGGATTGACCCCATGCGTTGCGCCCAACTTCTTCCCCACCTGAAGTCGGGAGTCATCCAGGTCCACCAGCACCAGCTTTGCCGGTGAATACAACTGTGCGGTCTTCATTGCTGCCAGTCCAACAGGTCCAGCACCAACTATTGCCACTGAACTTCCTGGCCGGACCTTACTATTCAACGTTCCGCACTCAAATCCTGTTGGCAACGCATCGGACAGCATCACAGCTTCTGCCAAGTCAACAGTGGGGGGCAACTTATACAGTGAGGACATCGCGCACGGAATACGTACGTACTCCGCCTGCGTGCCATCGATCGTGTTTCCAAGGATCCATCCACCGTGGCTGCAATGTGAGCTCATTCCCTTCCGGCAGAATGAGCACGACCCGCATGCAGTAATGCATGCTATGAGCACCGTATCTCCCTTGCTTAGCCCTGTCACATTGGAACCGACCTCCTCGATGATTCCAACCCCCTCGTGCCCGAGGATTCGTCCGGGGGTCGCTGTTAGCACATCGCCCTTGATAATATGCAGATCCGTACCGCATATTGTTCCGTACTTGAGCTTGACGATGGCGTCCGTGGGAGAGGAGAGAGTAGGCTTGGGTCGTTCTTCAAGGGCGACTTTTCCATTGCCCGCGTATACGAGAGCTTTCATCTTGTCGGTCGGGGCCGTGGACTGTGTTGCTAGGCCACGGTAAGGAACGGCGAATGGCAGTGTCAATGGAGGAAACCGTTTCGGAGCCTGTGGGATAGGTATCGCTTTTGTGTTCTGAAGAACAAAGCCGAGAGGGATTTTGAATATTCTTCTGCTAGCAATGCTAGCAGACAAAAGAGATCTTGGAGCTGCAAATGACATGGCGACCGGTAACCAAAATCAAAATTGACTACAACGAATACATCACCTCCACCGTCACCATCACTCCACCAGGACTGCGAACCCACTTAGTTATACTTCGCATGTATGTACAACTATGTAGCTTCAGAGCCCCACCGTGTCCTACATTGTATGGCGTTAGGGCTGTAAGTTGTTTCAACCGGTAAAGTCAATCCAAGCTATATCCAAGGGTTTCCGTGGTCAACTGTTTGGTGAACCGCGCGCCACTGGCGACAGCCGCGATGCGGGGAAGGTTGTAAGTCGGCTGGGACGAATAGAGCTTAACAGTGTTTTTCCGTGGATGAAGCGTTTAGAACACGCAAGTGAGCCTTGGAGGGTTAGCTGGGTCTACACTGCATGCGGCGCGAGGTTCAATCCGCATGTCCATTAATGGTATAACAGTGTTACATGTGCTTTAATTGTGGAACTCAATTTGTTCCCAACTTAAGCATAGCCTTTTAGCTCTATAAAACATACAGAGAGAGATGATCTACATACATCTCAAAAAAGAACAAATCCAAAGATCAAATAAAATGGAATAGCTTTTGCTGACAAAGCAATCCTCATGCGCACTGGAAAACCGGGCAAAGTTGGTAATTACCTTGGTTCACTCAATGTCATAGTCAATCTGGCACTTCATCACCGCACTTATGCTCGATAGGCAAGTGAAAGAGCATAGTTTACCTATCAAGCTTCAACCAATCCACACTCCACACACCCGATCGCATCAGCTGACTCAATGTTTCTTCACAACCACATCTTCCGCTTTATGGGCCATCTCCTTCGCAGAATCCGTGGCTTCGTGTCCCATGTCTTTGAGGGCAGCAGTGGTAGACCCATCCACAGACCGTCTGTGCAAAAAGATACGGGTAACCTGCGTGAATCCAAGGCAGCCGACGAAGAAGTTCACAGTAGCAAGCCTATAAAGTAGACTATATCAGTAAAACTGCACACAGGAATATCGCCAGTAGTAAACGGCCAGCAGAAAGAGACGGCTGCCAGTCAAATATGGTTTCGAGCTTACAGGATGTTCTTTGGTTTAATGATCAGGCACCATCTCGTCCAAATCGCACCTGTGAACATCAACGCGGCATTTTGCGTCAGGGAGAGTTTGTCGGCTGGTCGAGCCATATCACCGAGTCCTGCAATGACGAGAATCCACTGGTAAAAAGGTTAGAATGTGATGTATCGACAACCTAGGAAAGGTCCCCGCAAAATGGACGCAGTGTCTGTTGTCTTCGAACCTTCATTACTGGAGCCCTATTTGTCAAACAGAAAAGCACCAAGATTAGTATCTGTTCCAAAGCACCTGAACCACGCTAAACCAACGGTTGGGGAAAAGCTCGAGTATTAAAAATAGTCCTCACCAGAAATGCACAGTCTTCACTCCAACCGGGCTGTTCCATGATCTTTGCAAGAAACTTTGCTTTGTCTCTGCGGCAGCCTCTGTGCTCTGGAATCGCCGGCTGCGAAGCATCTGTCTGCGGAAGGGGGCGGCGGCATTCTGGAACGCTGCCCTTGAGTTCTGGAGAAAGCGGAGTCCGAAGCGGGAAGACATAGTGACGGAGCGATGGGGGGTGGTGTTTGGAAGGGGAAGAAAAGGAGGAGAACGGAAGGAGGTAGGGGAATTGGAAAAGGCAAAGCACAGTCCTCCACAATCAGGAATGGAACATTAATATACAGCAAAGAACGAGGAGTTGAATCAGCGATGACCGATGGTGACGGAGAGGGTCAAAACTAGCGCCTTTGGCCGGTCCGATCTTCGCAGCCAGAATCCCGCCCCCTCGGCCAATGATGAGTCCGCATCCCAACCATATCACGTGATAAATATTATGTAATTTTGTCGATTACTCAGCCAGTTGTCGATGAGCGCATTTCGTCCAGCGTCTGCAGCGACGACGACGACCAACTCCTCCTGCCGCTCAATTGAGCTTTATTTCCCGCTTCGACTTTCGGTGAACGAAGGCCTGATCGCCAGAAAGGCACATCCTCCATACTCCCGGCACCATGTCCACTAAGTACGCCTTCAGCAAGGGCCTCAAGGAGCTCAGATTCCTCTTCTGCCACTCTTCCGCTCACGGCGATGCGACAAGGTTAGATCGACTTCAATCCTGATATATGTGGAGCTTCTCCAGTGGGAGCGGTTTCTTTGCGTGATCTACGCTGACTATCCCGGCGCAGAACATTTTTAAAACGGGCGTACCCGACGATGAAGAAGCATAATCCCTATACGCCGATTTTGATCCGGGAGGCGGCAGACATTGAGCCGAGAATATTTGCGAGATACGGTACGTATACTTGGACTGACGGAAAGTGTAAGAGAATGCAGAAACCAATGGCTGACTCAAATTATGTTATAGAGTTTGGAAGGGAAAAGCAGCAATCACTGTTAGGTATGTGCTCATTGGGAAGACAGTGAAGTTTTACCGGTGCATTGCACAGACTAATAGTATTTCTAGGCCTATCGGACAAGGAAATAGAACAATTAGTCACTACATTGGTGCAACCCAAGGAATAAGAGTTGTCCGTGTTGGATTTTATTTTTTACGACTTAGACCCGGCATTTTTCTCTGTACCTATATATCACGAAATAAACCTTCCTTTTCCAGAACGCCCAATGCAAATAGAAAAAAAAGATTCTAAACCCGGAATTGAATGATACCAAAGTTAAGGGGCATACGTGGTGTCCGACCTCAATTGGTTACAACCTCCCCGAATCGGAATTGCGCCCAGCTCATGCTACCTTCCGGCAGAGTGAACAATCTCTTTCCCACATCATCTCCCGCAGCCCCGGCTCCGACATGAATTGGCAATAGATGATCAAACGTCGGGTGTGCCTGTCTCGCGTCGGGTCTTTTAAGCAGATCCCGAAGAGCCCTCTGCCTATCCGCAGGTGCAGTTGCAACGGCTTCCTTGAGCGCCTCATCAAAACTTGCAGCATATGGTAGCGGCCGTGGATCTCCAAAGGTAAACCGCAGATCGCGCAGGTTATGCACCGCCATTCCAGAGACGATTATCTGAATATTCTCTTCGCGGAGTTTGGAGACCGCTTGACCGAGACGGAAATGTTGATCAGGATCCTCGGTATCGAACAAGGAGACTTGGACAACGGGCACGTTTAAGGGGTTGTCTTCCGGGTCAAATGCTGATGGTGCGGTTTAGTACATGTACCCACAGGCCGCGCGAGCTGAATCCATCTGAAATTGAGTACATACCACACTTGAAACTCGCCCAAACCCCGTGGTCCAACCCTCTCTTGACCCCCTCTACATTGATGCCCGCATCCCGAATGGATTTTATAACCTTTTCTGCAATTTCCCGACTCCCGACATGAGGATATTTCTCTTTATAATAATGCGATGGAAAGCCATAAAAACTTTGTTCCCAAGACATCGTCAGCACAGGTTCCACCTGAGGCCCAGCAAGCCTAAAACAAAACTCACTCATATATCAGCTCCGTAATCTCTGCCGTATTAACTTGAATCGTATCCCTTCCACCCTGCCAGTGCGCAGAAAACACAACCACAGCTCGGGGTCTGACTTTTGTCGTGATCTCCTTGCCGATTTGCTGCAACTTGCGGTAGGCCGGATGATCATGTTGGTACATTATACTAGGCTATAGAATGTCGTTTAGAAATGTGCCGTCCGGCAAATAAATGAACAAAATATAGCTCAACCACCCACCCCGCCATGACTTAGGAAGTAAATAGGCGTTTTACGCACGCCGGTGGCGGCAACGGACAGCAGCTCTGCTTCTTGAGAAGCCATTGGCAACGATTCGGATTTTCCGGGCTTTACGGAGCTTTGCACACTTCCAATTCCTGTGGTCGTGAAGCTTCTTCCAGGCGAGATTCCTTTCGCCTTCCCGAACAAACCAAGTCGATGCTGAATGGGTCCGGGTCGAAGATACCACGCTGCCAGAATTGCGACGAGCACGCTCAGACAAATGCTAACGAGGAATCTGACCCCGCCTGCGCTACCGGCGCTGGTGTTATTTGCTGCAGGTGAATTCACGGCTAGCTGCGTATTCTTTGCGGGTGAGGAGGGTACAGACATTGATAGCTCATAAGCAAGAACGGCTACTTCAGAGTCGAGACTATGTCCATTCCTTTCCTTTCCATCGCCTGGAATTTAAGTCAGATGTAACATTATTTTGCTCCACGACGGCCATAATGGCGTGATTCTTCAGCCGTTCTCTTGCTGCTGAAGTACGTCGCGGAATTCGGAAACGGCAAGGAGCTGCTTACTAAAGGGAGTGAACGCGAAGGCCGAATTTCCGCCCTCTGCGCAATGCCGGGAAATTCCTCCGCCGAAGTTATTTGCAACGCAAGCCATCAACTAGAGTATGTATCCATGATCTTGCCCGACGAGGAATCAACTCGCTAGAAACACAGTGCTGAAAAGATTTTCTAACCGATCCCAAGACCAACGCGAAGACAAACGCAGCGTACAACGTACGTATATATATATATGCACGGGGCTGCTCAATCTCAACAAGTAGGCAAAATGCGTGAAAACTGGCCTATCTGCCAGCTAAAGGAAATGTCACCAAAAGATAATTGATATCAATAGAACTACACGCATAGTTACCCCAAAAACTCCGCCAGAATCCCTTTGTATACCTCCGAACTCGGGTCTGGAAAATAGGTGGCCCAGCCTTCAAGCGTAGTTACAAGGAGATTCTTCTCAATAATCTCACTTGCTCTCATCTTCAACTCTCCAACGTCCCTGTTGCACCACAGCATCCGGCCCCTGGCAAAATCCGCTTCGCTGCTCGCAACCCAGACTGCGAAGGCCGCCGGAAGACTTGCTGTTCTTCTCTTTTAGAAAACCCCAATCGTCCATCTTGTTGATAAAATTTAGCTTATCATCGTCGATTGGGAGTGCTTTGGAGACTTTGAAAAGCGTGTTGGCCATCTCTGTCGGAATGATACCTGGATGAATGCTGGTAAAACGTATAGGGGAACATTCTCTTTGAAAATGCTCCATTATCTTCGTACTGGCCAATTTGGCGGCACAATATGCGGAGTGGCCGGGCCTAGGAAGAGCGTGACAAGCACCGCTGGAGACGTGCACGAAGACAGCTCCGGTGGCAGCTGCAAAGGGGGCGACCTCGCGTACCAGAAAGAAATTGCCTTTGACGTTGACCTGTTTAGTAGTAGTTTAGCACCTATATGTACACATCCACCGAGAAGGGCTACACGGAAAATTCTATACGTCGAAAGCTTTGAACCATTCACTGGTTATTGAGTCCGTGACACTTAACAGCTCGGGTGAATACCCCGCATTCGATACGAAAACATCCCAAGTCCCATGTAACCGTTTGATATCGGCTGCTAGTTTGCACACAGAGGGTTCATCGGCGATATCAGCCACCAGCACGTCGACCTCAGTGCCAGGAAATTCCCTCTTGACCTCCTCCTAGGTTCGCTTGAGAGTCTCGATCCTGCGACCGAAAATCACAATTCGGAGGGCCCCCGCCGCGGCGAAAGCCTTGACAATATGAGGACCGATCCCCGATCCTCCTCCGGATATGACCACTTTCTTTCCTATAGCTGCGATGGACGGATTCTGGCTCGGGTCGATGGTTGGATAGATTTTGTTATGCCATACCCTAGTGAAAGATGGAAAGGGAAGTTGGTTCGCCATGGCTAGTGGAACGGATAGTCAAGTGGATGTATTGCACCTCATCATTAGAATTGGAGAGGAACATTGGTTGCAGCTATATATTCCCTGGCCTTCTCGTTATGCTCTTTGTCATGTCATTGACTTGACGTTAGATTCGTGTTATACGTCAAAACGTTGTGCTGGCCGGAGCTGCGGAAATTTGGGCTTCTTTCCAGCGTATATTGACGAGGTCGTCAAGAGCTCTCCATTTGATCAGTCCCTCACAGAGGCATTTCAAGTCCAGAAGGCAGTGACAATTGTTTCCCGAAGAACGACCTGACGCATATATCACAGTCCACCAAATATTCAGAACCGCGGACATCAGCTAGCTTCGAAAATCAAAGTCGATTGTCAATCGTTACTCGGCCAACCAGCGCCGCTGTTGGAGCTCGAACAGAGGGGGCAAACGACACCAATAACGATGGCTGACGATGGCTTCGAAAGCTGGAAGCGGAAAACCTATCAAAACCAACTTCCTTAACTAGTAGAATAGAAAGGGCAGGCTCTCAGTATAAAACCGAAGACAAGTATCTTCAAAGTGCAATGGCTGAACCTTTTTTGGAGAGCTGTTCTGCGAATGCTAGCATCAGTGAGCGAAGATATTGGGCTGACTCTTGGACATGGCTTAAGTTCTCGAGGATTCTGCAGGAGCGTTATTATTGACCATCTGGGTGAGCGAGCTGTGGGTGCGGCGCTGACGATTGAGTTCCTCTGCTCCAGAAATGCCAAGCCGGCCGTTGATTCCTCGGCTGGAATCCCCGAAGCATGGGCCTGCGGTGAGTTAACCGCTGCCAGCCGCCCCTTTGACCCGAGACCGTTTCTCCCGTCCTCCCCAGACAACTTTCGCACTTTTATCTCTCACTTCCCCAGCTGTCTCCCTAGGGGAAAAAAAAAAAAGCCATCGTCCGTTTGAGACTCTCTCACAAGCCCCCAACTACCCTCTTAATTGCGGTGTGCCCTTTCGGTGATTAAACTCGAAGTCAAGTTCCATCCACATAGCCCCGTCTTAAACAATGGCTTTGGCTGCGAGAGCTTCCAGACAGGCCCTTCGGGCCGCGAAGGTACGGTAGAATCGCATTTGATGGGAGTGAGAAGTACCATTGCTTATCCAATTTATCATTGTTTAGGCCTCATCCTCCCGCACAGTGGCAGGCTCCTCCAGATCTTACGCTTCTGCGGCCGAATCCGAGCTTAAGAGCGTCTTCCGGAGCGTCCTTCCGGCTAAGAGAGCTCTGCTCAAGGAGTTGAAGGAGCACAATGATGCAAAGATTGGCGATGTCACGGTTGCCAATGCCATTGGAGGAATGAGAGGCTTGAAGGCCATGATCTGGGAAGGCTCCGTCCTTGACCCCGAGGAGGGTATTCGATTCCACGGCCACACCATCAAGGACTGCCAGCAGATGCTTCCCAAGGGTACCTCCGGCACCGAGATGCTTCCCGAAGCCATGTTCTGGCTTCTACTCACCGGCCAGGTCCCAACTACTCCCCAGATCCGGGCTTTCTCTCGTGAGCTTGCTGAAAAATCTCACCTCCCAAAGCACATCCTGGATATGATCAAGTCCTTCCCCAAGGATATGCACCCAATGACCCAGCTTTCCGTTGCTGTTGCCGCTCTCAACACCGAGTCCACCTTCGCCAAGAAGTATGCTGAGGGCTTGAACAAGGCCGACTACTGGGAGCCCACCTTCGACGACAGCATCTCCCTCCTAGCCAAGATTCCCCGTGTGGCCGCTTTGGTATTCCGACCCAACGAGGTCGACACTGTCGGCACCCAGCAGCTCGACAGCACCCAGGATTGGGCCTACAACTTTGCTGTCCTCCTCGGGAAGGGTGGCAAGGAGCACGAGAGCTTCCACGACGTTCTCCGTCTCTACCTCGCTCTCCACGGTGATCACGAGGGCGGCAACGTCTCTGCCCACGCTACCCACCTTGTCGGAAGTGCTCTCAGTGACCCGTTCCTCAGTTACTCCGCAGGCCTTCTCGGTCTCGCCGGTCCTCTCCACGGCTTGGCTGCTCAGGAAGTTCTCCGATGGATCCTGAACATGCGCGCCAAGATTGGCGACAACTTCACCGAGAAGGACGTCAAGGACTACCTCTGGAGCACTTTGAAATCCGGCCAAGTCGTCCCTGGCTATGGCCACGGTGTTCTCAGAAAGCCCGATCCTCGCTTCGAGGCCCTGATGGACTTTGCTAGCACCAGACCAGAGATCATGAACAACCCGGTCTTCAAACTCGTCAAGAAGAACTCCGAGATCGCCCCTGGTGTCCTCACAGAGCACGGCAAGGTAAGATTAGCCTTATTTAGCTTTCTGGCTCCTACGTCGTAAGATCTGACATGCTGACGATGTTCAAAAACACAGACTAAGAACCCCCACCCCAACGTTGACGCTGCCTCCGGCGTTCTCTTCCACCACTACGGCTTCCAGGAACCTCTCTACTACACCGTCACATTCGGTGTCAGCCGCGCCCTCGGCCCACTTGCCCAGTTGATCTGGAGCCGTGCCCTTGGCCTCCCTATCGAGCGCCCTAAGAGTATCAACATGCAGGGATTGCTCAACTCTGTTAAGAAGAACTAAAATTTTTTCAAAAATAGAAGAGTATCTTTCTTATATGTATGTACTATAAATGGGGATGATAGGTGAAAAAAAAAAAAAGGCAAATGTTGGGTTCTAGCTTGACGCGCCAGTGCAGTTCGCTTTTTTGCTCTTATATTTCCGGGGCTCCTAAGCGACTCCTTTATTACATTTTATGGCTACATACATTGAGAGTGGCGGAGGAAAAAGGGTGTTCATTATATGTAACTTCCTACTGTTTTGGTTATGTGATGATGATAGCTGATAAATATTACTGTTACCTCTTTTTTCAACTTGTTCAATTGCGCTGATGTTGATATGCATCTTGCTGATCTTATTACGAGAGTCATGAATCTTCCTTCCCTATAATGTCTGTGTGTATCCAGTTGGGACTTTGATATTGGTCTGATACGCGTGCCAGAAAATACGCAACATTTAAACAATCCAGTATGTCAAAATGGTGGCAATAGTGGGGATTTGTCTAAAATAGCCACCAATTAGAAAGCCCTTATAAAATAAGGATAAAATATTAGAAAATGTCCAACATTGAAGATCTATAATGTGAGAGTACTCGGTATAGACTATTATATTTTAAAAACATTAGTGCATAGAAAGCATTAGTACAGTATCTTTTGTGCTGGTTAGCGGGGCGCCGAGCCCGTCCCGCCGCATCGCCATTGGTCCGCCGCCTACACTATGCCCGAAGTGGCATCACAGTTACCGCTTCGGGGATGGCGCCGGCCTCGCCGCTTTTGCGCCATCTCGCGCCGCCCCAACGATGCTGCAGAGATCTATAAAAACCCAACCTCACTCCCTCAAACAACGACGCACTTCTTCATTCTCTTTCTCCCTCGTCCCATCCCGTCTCTCGCGCCCACGCGCACTGCCCCCTCATCCTACAGGGACGATGCCGTGTTACCCGGCTCTCGACCTCTTTTCACTGCGCGAACGGCCGTCCAGAGCACCGCCACACCGTCACTTCATCGGCGTCGGACCCAGTCGTGAACCCCCATCCACGGTGCTACCGGAGGTCAAGGCGCCTCGACCATTGCAGTCATGCTGTGATGGTTTTCGCCACGTCGTCCGATCGGCGACTCCCAAGTCAATGGCCGATTTCCTGTCCTGCATTCCCTCTGACATCTTTGATGTTTTTTTATTCTTGCCCTTTTTTCTCGCGGCTTCTTTGCCCTCTCAGCTTTCCTGAGCCGGCTATTCAAATCCCAGCGCGAGCCTGGGCTAGCAGGATCTGTTTTCCTTCCCGCATGACCCCCATCACGGGAATATTCTGGGAAGCAGGGGCAATGTCCCCTCCCGCTCGATATCACCATGGCCCACCCGAAGAGTGACCTGCATGCTTTCACTTCCATCCATTAGCCAATGGCAAAATTGCCGCACCCCTTTTGCTGTTGGATGCAGGTGCAAGACCGAACCAGGCATGCGGCATGTCCGGCTTGGAGGTTGTGGTAGAGCTTGATTAACACATTACACCAGGTCTCTGCCTCCCAGGGCGCATTTCTGGTGAGGATGGACGCGCCAGCATTCTAAAGCAAGACTCAGGGCACAGAGTGATTCACTCCAGTCAATTTTCTCTGTGGAGGCAGTGAGATGAGGATGTGGATGCTCTGAGAACAATATAAAGAGGCTGAGCGATCCTCCAGAATCCAGATTATGGGCCCCTCCATGATACAATTTTCTTCTGGCACACTTGCTTCTCTCAATCCCATTTCTGTGCTCCAAATTCACCCCTTTGCACATATACCCTTCTCAGATCCAGATGGATTCTACACTTCATGCAACCTTCAGGCCATGGGCAACCCCTCACCCCAAACCACCTCCCTTGCACAAACTCCTCAACTCTCCAAACTCCAGCTGCTCCACCCATCATGATCTTCCCTGTAGCACTCTGCCACTTCTCAAGCATGCCCTCCCCGCGAGGCTGCCAGCCAAAGTCTGCGTGCTGTCAAGCACTGGCACTTGGCTAGCTTTGCCATCTGTGCCTAAATTCCTACCTCAACTGTGACAGATATTGCTATCGCCATCCAGTACACCATCTTCAGAGAACCCAACACAGAGGACTTCATCTCTGCATGATCCAGTGCCTCTTTCAAATTCACCTCTTTCTTCCATCTGTGATGCTCAACACTCCACTGCTCTTCCAGCTGTGTTGCCTCACTTAGAAGAAGAGACCACAGGAGCCAGCCCAGAATCTTCCAGTATGACCAGCTCAGACAGTAGCTTTAAAGAATTCCTCCAGCTTCCAGTTCTTCAGGAAAACTTTCTGATTGACCCAGTGATTATTGTTGACAAAGAGCCCTGGGAGACCAATGGCTTTGGATGGCCTGTCCAACAAGGTGACAGCCTTGCCAGCCCCAAACCAATCTGCCCATATCCTGAACCTCCCTCACCCAT